TCATCAAGTACCTTGAAAACCGTCTGTCCTGTCCAGCGGGCACCCGTGGGCGCCCGCGATAGCTTGTTCTCTCTCCAATTGCGATGAAACACTTCGTGCTGTTTCCCGCGCATGGTGTGCATTGTCGTGGTCCTAGTTGAGGCAAACAGGGCTAGGTCTACGGGGCATTCTTTCACTCCGTTCGGATTGAAGAATCCTTTCCTTTCGCAAACATGAATGCGGATCAGGTTGCCTTGCTCCTTGTCGTACACCCAACTGTCTCTCTTCGGTGCTTCACCGTTCGGCTCTGCATCCTTTGCAGAGCACGCACCCATAGTGCAGTCTGCTACACTGCCTTCCCCGTTCGGGCTCGCGCAGTGCGATGGGAATTGCACACAAACACATGCATATGTTCTCTCCATGCACTCTTCACAGAAGGTCGAGCACTGGTGGGTGGCACATGCTGCAACACTGAGGCGTCCCACAATGTCTTCGGCTTGTATGGTTATCCTATTTACACTTTCCTCATGCATTTGCAACGCATCAGCATCGCCTTCCGGCTCTTCCTCATAATGTTGCACTCCACATGTCTCTGCAACACTTTCGTCGAGTTGCTGCAACACAAGAGCGTCGCCGTTCGGCTCAGTCTCGGAGTGTTGGATTTCACATGCCACGGGTATGCTTGCATTTCCGGCTTGATCAAGGCCTATGCTAAACATGGGCACGTCATTCTTCACACGGCTGGCGTACCACCTGTTCTTAAGGGGACACCAAATGCGACACTTCCTATGGTTAAGAGCGATGTAGGGGACCTTTCCATGTTCCAAACAAACGTCCTTCCCTTTCTCACTTGCCGCCCAATAGACATTGCCAATGGGCAGCCTTTCAGCAGATGAACCTGCATGCTTCCCAGCGCTTGGGTCCACAAGTTCATAGCCTCGACTGATTGCTGGACACCGCCACCTGTGAGAAACTTCACAGGTCTGTCCAACACACCTTTCCACATCTCTAGCAACTCGGGGGCGATGCCTTGTTCAAGAATGGCCCGTTCGGATCCTATGTCATGTGCAGCACCAATGTCTCCGATTAGCTCTAGTGAGATGTTATGGAAATCATCTGCCATGTTTGCCAACATACACAAGTTGTCTTCTGAGGGAAGCTCAACCCCATTAGTTGATGGTTCCCAACCGTGCAAGGACGTACCTACGTTCAAGATATTGTCAAACTCGGCGGCCCCTACCACACCTGTGTGTGACATTTGTGCGATACTCGTCGTCATGATGCCCTCGATGCATGCAAGCATCAGCGGGATGCTCACTCTGAGAAAGATCGGGATCGGCAATCGCACTATGGATGCCTGCTCTACGAAACTCTCCCACATCTTCAACATCTTCCCTATGACTCCGTCTTTGTTGTGGTTCGGGCAGCTGGGATCACTCGAACCTTCCTGCCGGGCATGCTCTGCGCTAGTCACCCTTGACAAGCAGGGAACCCGCTTCACCTCATGCCACAACCAATGGAACAATGTCTTGCCGTTTGGTCTGTCTTCTGGTCTGAGTCCATTGCGGATGTAATGTGCCCTTCTGATGAATGATTGCACATTCGCTGCAGTGGTGCCCTCCAACTTCAAGTTGAGCAAGTGCATCTGGTTCAGTGCAACCCCTTGTGATGCACCTATGGAGAAGTGACAATAAACCAAATTCAACATAGGCGCTGCTCGTGGTCCCTCACCTCTCAATGCACAGCTTTCAACGTATGAGTTGAGTTCATGCGACAATTCGACATTGGTGGCCAACACATCCGGTTGAATGAGTTCTGCAAGGTGCTTGTTGAACTGCACAAAGATCTTTTCTGAGTGAAGTTTCTTGCGGAACTTGCTGCCACTTCCTCCCTCGAAACAGTGCACAACGTACTTTGCCAACACATCATCCTGAGTCATGTCAACACGGGATACTGAGGCAATCAAGGCGCTCTTCCACTCTCTGCAAGATGTGGCGTCATTTGGCAACCTTGTGACCTTAATCATCTTAAGGTTCTTATGCTTGTACACTGAACTTTCGAACTCATCGCGCCAGGGCTGGTGCCCGGCTGCGGAAGAGTCACTAGATGATCCCCAAGCCACTTCATCTTCAACCTCATCCGAATATTCTTCGGATGGGCATGCCTGAGAGTCATCTTCGGGGATTGTGGGTTGCTTCTTGACAAACCCTTTCTTGGACCCGGACGTTTTGTCGCGCCTGCTGGCAGCGTGTCCGTCCCCCCTTTGCACCTGCTGTGGTGCTGCATCCGCGCCCTTATGGCCTGCTGAGGCGGGCCCAGGAGTCATGTCGTTCCACAAAGGAGCAGGAAAGCCACTGGGAATGCGTGGAGGTTCTGGCACCTGCTGGGGACCCGGTGGAACACCAGCGCATGCACTTTGCGAGCCATGCACCATTATGTTCAGTTGTTCTATCTGTCCCTTAGCCTGTTCCAGTTGCCCCATCAACTCAGCAATCTGTTGATCACGCTTTTGGATGGCTTCCGAAGCTTCTTGATGGATTCTGGCGACACCCACTTCTGCTTGCACTTGGGTCTGTTGCTTTTCTCTTTCAGCCTGAGTGATAGCATCTTTAGCTGAGAATGCCATTTGCATGGCTTCACCTTGCAATTGTTGCCTCTGTTCACTCAATGCTGCAGCAACATGGGCCTGAATGAGTCTCTCAATCTGCTCTGGGTCATGTGTATAGACTACATTAGCAGTTTGCTGAATGGCATTATATTGTTGCTGATGCACATTGGTACTCTCGGCATTGACCTGGGTCAAATGTTGAGTGGATGCATCAACCTCCATATGGTGTAAATTTGCTGATTCATCTCTATTCATGACATTCGTCTGAGACACTGAATGGCCTGTGTTGCCTACTCCCTCGTGCAATCCACTGATTCGGCGGGCTCACCTGCGATTTGCAATTGATCACTTGGTACGGCATCTATGAGTTTCACCCGGGCTGTCAGTTGAAGGGAATGACGATGAGAAGGTTTCTGGATCCCTTATGCTGTGGTATTGGGCTGTTAAACCTAGCCTTTGTCTGGCTGAGTCACCACCCTTCTGAGTCACCACCCTTTTCTTTACCTAAGCGTTTGGGACTCTCCGCTTGCATATACCCCTGCTGATCACAACCTGGCGGCCTGACTTTTCCACTCCACCCTATATCACTCGCCTGAGCGGTGTGCGATCGCAAGCCACAAATTGCTGCGCTTTCCGGCGCTTTGCAATGTCCTCGCAGCTCGGATCCGTTCCACCAGCAGCTGGATGCTCGTTGCTGCAGAGTGGGCACTCTTCACCTGTATCGCCCACGGGGCTTGCCTCGGATCCAAAAGCCGGTTCCACCGCTCTTGCAGTTCGTCCAAGATGTCCCGAGCGTCGTCGCACAATGCAGTTGCTCCAAGCTCCAGGACCCTTTGTGCTTTTGTTTTATCCGAGCGCCCGTCTCGTCGGCGTGCTGAACGCCACGATTTGCGATACACGAATTCCAGAGGTATGTGTGACAATGGTCCTGCTGCCCACGCTTCTCGAGTTGACTGCTCCCGAAATGCTGTGCCCACGTACGACAGGCACCTGATGGCAACCCCCGTATCCTCCAGCCGCCTCACCGCCTCCACCACAGGTGTCGGAATCACCCCGAAATGCTCCAGGGTGTTGTGGTAATCCAATATCACCAAAGGCCGCGAATTGACTGATGGCGCCGGCACAAGAACAACCTCAGGTGTTTCCACGTCTGAGCTGATGTCCTCCACGGGCTCTTCTGCTGTCACGTCAGGGATGTCCAGCTGTTCCGCCAATTCAAGAATCACCGGATCTTCGACAATGTCTGTCTGCCCAGTGTGCTGATCCTGAAAAGCGTCCAACTCCGCCAAACACCAACGACTCTCGTCCTGTGACGTCCTGAACCAAGCGAAGCTGTGATTGCCACTTGTTGATCCGTCTGCACGCCAAGGATGAACCTCTGTCTCGATTTCGATCTCTACTTCTTCCAGCTCGTCGTCTGCCTGTTCTGCCTGCACCTCCTGCACCGATTCCAACGCGTCCTGAAAACCCGCCTCGTATGCACGGTCAAGCTTCCTCTGCTTATACTGTACCTGCGATGGCCTGTCCGGTCGTCCTCTGCGTTGTGATCGTTGAGTCTTGTGCATACACCTTCTCAAGAAAGTTGTAAGGTCTGATATTCACCGCCGCCTCGAGCTGTGCGGCTGATAACCCGCAGAAACTTGCAAGTGGTACCCTGTAGCAACGTTATCAAGCGTCCGATCAGGATTCCAAATATAAGTTCCAGTTGAAGTTCGCGGCGTGAAAGTCCCTCAAACCCAAAACTTGTCAAGATGCAATGGCGGCAACGAAACAAGACACTAACCTATTCCCCTCTCACAAGTAAACAATTGCAAAGCCAAACGCCCACCGGGACCTTTTAAGGGAATCGACCCGACCCGGGGAGCGCGCTTTTTCTTGAGCCAAATCATGCAAGGTCTGCAGCTCACGGAAGGAATGCTCTACTGAAGAGAACCCCTATGTCCTATCGATTCCCGTTGATGCAAGTAACCGCAAAGTTATCATGATGTAATGCCCACACAAAGTGTAATGCCATCCCTGTGGGTATGCATTTATTTGAGAAAGAGTGCGGGTATTTACACTCACCCTCCCAACAACTGCTGCCTCCCGTGTCCAAAATGGCAAGAACTGTCCAACAAGAGCTGTTGGGGGAGTGCTGGTACAAGCTCCATGTGTTATTCCCCACAGCTTGCACCCCTGCCTTGTGCATCTCGCGGCCTTGCGCATGTTTCTGGGCAAAACCTTTTGAGCTTCCCCATTCTCCTATCTCTCACTGGAAAGAACATGCTGCCACATCCACACATTATAGTATTTCTTGTACCGTGTACCCGCACAAGCAAAACGTGTGGATTTAAGGTTTGTCCGTCCTTCCCCTTTAGCTGGGGCAGGTTCTGTTTCAAAGGCGGCATGGAACACGCTGGCCACACCCCGGCTCCAGAAAACTGCTCTTCACCTTCACCATCTCCAGTTCCTCCCCATCCTCAGACAGCAAGCCCGACCCATCTGCCCATGGGCGGGGGGTGATCTGGAGGCTTTTCGCCCGTCTCCTAGATGCACTTTGGTGCACAACAAGCTGACTGTTTCGCCGTAAATTGGACCCAGGCCAACACTGAAACTGGAACCCATCAGTCCTCAACCAAGCTGAAACCAGACAAGACACCTATGCCCATTTGACATGTCGCCCTGCTTTTGTGAACTTCAAGTTGAACCCCTAAATTTGCTTGGAAACCCTCAATAAATCTGGGTTGCTCCTCCTTCCTGAGCAGACGTTTGCAGGTTCAATCGACAAGCAACTTGTTTTTTAAAGGGCGAAGGTCATACCAAAGACCAGCCATGAAATGAGGCGTTTCTTTAATCAAAAAACCTAGGACTGACGACTGCACCCAGAACCTTCCTCCCATCCTGTCTTCTCCAGTCACTGGCATTCTTTGGGCTGATTATCCAGAACCCTCCATCCCTCTCAAATTCAGCTGTCTTTCTTCCAAGCCCCTTCTTTTCGCCTTTCGGCCTGTGGATTCCCAGGCCGACCAAAAACTCGTTGCCTCCGGCCGAGCCCCCCGGTGGCCCCCCGATAAACCCCCCGGTTGCGGCCTGCAATCGCTGCAGCTCATCCTCATCGAAGCTCCTCAGCCTCACCCGGCCGTCGTCGTAAGGCACCGCCCGCTCCAGGCGCTTGGCGATGGCGACCGCACCAAGCGCGAAGAAGAGGTGAAACATGTGCAGCTGCTAACGCGGCCAAATACCTCAGCTGCGCAAATATGGGGTTTTGGGTAGCATGTTGGGGATTTAGGTTTTAGGTGACATGTTGGGGGTTTAGGTGGGGCTGTAGGCGGGAGCAAGGTCAACTAGAAGCAAAATTGAGATAACAACCCGGCCCCAAGGCGATCTGCAAGCTGCTAGTTCCTGAAGGACGCCACACGTTCGAAGATATCGCAGACTACGTGCCCGCTGCGCGAGCGCAGCGGGGCGGGGCTAGTATCACTTGCCGTGACTTGAGCAGAAATGTGGCGCACGTCACCCAGCAAGTCTCAGTGAAAGACGGGCTTACCAAAAGAGGCTATGAAACCAGCTAAAGAAAACTCTACAGCAGGAGCCGTCCTTTTGGTGGACTGCATTGATGCGGAAGGCTGGCTAGAGCATAGAACCGGGTCATTGAGCAAGTCCTCCAAATGACCCAAGCTGAATTGCAAAATATCTTTGATTTTCTCGACAATTAAGCACTTTCAGGGCCCTGTAGCCAGTCTTCTCACATGCGTCGCCTTGCGCCAAGGATCAAAGTTGGTTTTCACTAAAATGTATCCTAGCGTCCTCCAAATCAATCCGTTACCCCCGTCTTCCAACTTCATGTGTTGACAGCTTCCACCCTGGTGGACATGACAATTCTTCAGATCGGAAAAGCAATGCGCGCTCTAAAAAACCAACCTTGGTGCAATCTCTGATGCCGCTCCTGCTTGGACTTCATGATTTGTTGAAGCCAAAATGGCCTATGCACAAGCAATATACATATGGGTGTATCTTTTTTTAGGGGACTCGCCTTTAAATCAAACCAAAAGGGGGTACCCCCTCCCAAAAAAAGACACACACACACACACACACATACGAGCACCTGGCCATTCTAAGCAGATACGCCCTTGATCACACCCACTCGTGAAAATACTGAAGCCAAAAAAAATGATAGCAGGCGTTCGCAGTGTCAAACTTTTCGGGAGGGCTAGCTTGCACCAGTGAAGTTAAAGTTCTCAAACTTGGAAACTACTCTCAAGTTTGCAACCCAACAAAATCACAACCACGGCACCCTTGCAACAAGTTAACTTGCTGCTGAAGATGGAACACTGCGGAAATCCAACAGGGCAACCGGGCAGTCAGGTCAGCCGAGTAGCGCCACAAAGCTATTGACTTTTGGTTCCGCCAACATGGATATATAGGTCTATAGGGGCTTTGTGATCTATAACCCCCTTGAAACTATGTAATTAAGACCATCGACCAAACCGGCCAATGGGGGTTGTAAGGGTTTTTGCGCCCTTCAGTCAAGTCTGGCAATGTGACCCATTCCCCTTGGCGCAGATTTTTGTTTTTTTTCACCGCCCCAGCGTCGGACAGCATCTGCGCCACAGTAGTCCAGCTGACGTAAGGCCTCGAAATCGCTCGGAGCTCGGTGGCCACTCGCTGTGCTACATATGGGTGGCTCGTCTTCTGTGCAGTTGGTGACCTGTTGTTTGGCGGTCAAAGGAAAGGAGGGGAAACAACAACACACAATTTGGAGGTGCAACCTCAGAGACGAGGCGCCCGTATCCAATGTGTCTAAAGATCCAACCAAATGGAAAACCAAGAGAAAACTATCTCCCCTGCTCGGGCTCGGGCTCACATTTGATCGACAGGGAAGACGCTCAAAAACACTCGGCTGGCAAAGCAAAAACCGAAGGAAACCGATCGCTGATGTTACATCCATTTGAACAAACGTGGCTTTGTCTCAAAGCGGAACCCCCTGTTATGTGAAACACCTCTTGCAGCCCCTTCAAAACGGCCCCACCCAAGCCCTTGGATACTCCAGAGCAACCAAGTGAGTCGATTTTTGGGAGACCACATGAGAACCAGTTTACTTGCATTGCCCGTAACCGCATCCGAGCACTTGGAGGCCTCAGTCTGGCAAGCCAAAAGGGGAAGGGCCTCGAACCAAGGATCCCAGGCTCATATGGCAGAACAGGGATCCTTACATGAAAAACACCTGAACATTGCAACTTGTAAATTGTGGCTTCCCTGTATTTTGGTGGGAAAACATGTTTCAAATGGGCAAAATGTATCTTTTAAGGAGCCCTGCTGAAGTTGGGAGCCAACGTTCGGGACTGCCATGATTTTGGGCCCGGAGTGCAACATGGACGCACCGCTGGTAAAAATGGGACTATTTCATCTGCAACCCGTGGGAAAGCAAACTCTACAGCAATGGAAACCACCGGTTGTTTGGGCATAAAGATCAATGATTGGCTTTGAACTTCTATTGCAACATCCATCTTGGGAAGAAATGCCGCAGGTTCTGCGCGTTCCAGGATTCCAGGAGTTGGGTAGAGGACACGTGCTTGGAAAGGTTCGGTAAAAGCCTTGGTCGAATGAAGCGAGTGTCCTTTTTTGGAGTCGCTACCCCTTTTGCAACTGAATCCCGTGTTGGGGGGGGTGCCCTAAAAAGAAAGACACACCCAGAAGGAATGGTCCTGAGAACCGTTCTCAATCTCCTTTTGGCGGATCCACGGATCCCTGTGAAGGGTCGAAAAGTTCCAAAAACCCCCCAAGGGAACCAGGAACCGGGCCGTACTGTTCGTTGCGAGCGGGGCCAAACCAAAAGGCTGATCGGGAACATGTCTGACTCTCCCGGCAGCCCTCTGGACACAGGGCTGGCCACAAGTCCAACTTTTGAATACTCCAAAGTGGTCCCCCAGTGGGTCACTTTTCCCAAAAGTTGATCAAGCCACCAGTTGGTTTCCATTGAAACCATTGCCACCTGAGGTTCCAAGAAGGGAAATGGAGGAGCCCGGCATTGCTGGCGATAGGCCGAACCAGTCATGTCTCATAGATCCTGTCCGGTACGTGTTTGTGCCCCCGTCCAGCCAGGGTTGTTCCCTAAAGGGATGAAATGAACCCAAATTAGTGGTTGAAAGAAACCAACTTGCAAAAACAGCTTCCCAGATTGGCGCATCAGCTTGGAAAAACCCTTGGGCAACAACCCAGAGGCCAAGGGGAAGAGCCGCATTTTGTTGGCTGGCGGAGAAAATCGCGGGCAACCCGCCAAGAAGAACAAAGACACGGACCTGCGTTTGTGACACGTCGGCGACCCGCCTTTTGGTCGAGAACGAAGCTTACCAAGGCCAGCTGGTCGCTGGTGAAGGCTGCCTCCAAGCGATGCCGCAGGTTGGCTGAATGAAGCCAACCCCGCCCACCACCACTAAAACATGGAACCAGGGGGTCAATGATCTTTGAGGGATCTCACACTCGTGTTGGTGGGGGGTATCAACCCTCTGGGGCTGAGATGGCACGCTCGCCCGATCAAAATCAGGTTTGTTAACGGCCTTGAAGCCCAACATGAGCCTCCAAAGAAACACACACACACACAAACATACAAACAAACAAACAAATTACACAGTGCTTTCTAAAAAGCCTGCATGACAAGAGCGAATATGCTTTGAACAGTGAGGTGGAGCATGGCTGCTTAACATGCCATGATTGATAGTCTGCCGAAACACCTTGAGAGCTGTGGGTCACTCCTCCCACCTCCCAGGAATGCCCCCAAACCAATCACCTGGGGGTGATTTCTGTGAACCTTTGAACAAGCCCAGCATCAAAACAGCTTTAAGCGCCACTTGAAACAAAAGTGAAACTTACCAGTGAACCTTGAAAAGGCCATAAGTCTGCTGATTGTTTTGGAGTGGATAAAGGCCATAAGTCTGCTGATTGTTTTGGAGCCTTTGAAAAGGCCACATGTCTGTGGGTCAAAAATAGGTACCCAAAATGGAACCCTGGCAAGTGGAAACGTAGGCTAACATCTGCGGTTTTGCTGTGGTTTAATTTTGACCCATACCCACATGTCTGCTGGGATGACAAGAAAAAAGCAACGAGATCCCGTCCGGGCCTTCTGGTTCTCCGGGTGGCGATAGAACTGCAAAGCCTCGGCCCGGGTCCGACACTCCTTGTGACCTGGCGCTGGCGATGGGCCGCTGGACGACACATGGAAGACAACTCTCCTCTTCCTGGGGGCTGGGGGGGAGGGAGAGGGGGAGGGAGGTGCAGGGGGGAGGGGGGGAAAGGGGAGGGAGCCCCAAAAACCTATTTAGTCCTTATTAGGCCTTATTTAGGGCTTATTTGCCCCCCCTCCCCTCCCTCCCCCCCAGCCCCCATAACCTCTTGAACAAGCAACAATCTGACTTCCAGATTTTGTCTGGCTTCATAGCTTCAAGGCAACCACTTGCTACTTGCCAGTTGGAACATGTAAGCTAACCAAACATCTCAAAAAGGCGCGTGCTTCCCATTGATCGAGATACCAAGAGAAAGTTCAATGCCTACGAGTCGTGACCATTCGCATCTAAGTCCAACTGGAACATGTCCAAATGCAGCACAAACTTTTTCATGTGGGCAGGGGGATGGCTAAACCCAAATGAGGGAATTGAGCCATCCACATTCCCCAACGGCCGTTAGCACATTGGACACTTGAACAACAATCCGCTGGGGATCTCTGCGACGCCCGCGTCTGGTCAAAATTTAGCACGGTCAACAGCCGAACCTCCCAACCCCCCAAACAAAAAGCGATATCTTGGGGAGCCAAACCAAGGAGGTGTCCATCTTCGCGGCTGATATCTCAAGGGAACAAACAGGAACCCCGGCCAGTTTGGGGGGTCCCATGGGGTCCCCAATCGCAAGGCGACGCCCAAGAGGCCAAAATTGGACAGGGTTCCCCCGACCCTGTCCAAGTCACCCTCCAAAAATAAAGTCCCTAAAAAGGAGGGATGTCCTTTTTCCAGCAAAACGGGAAACCTTGCGAACTGTGGAATGCCCAACAGGTGGCCCAAAAAATCGCGAACTGTTGCCTTCATGGGCTTACAAACAGAACTTGGCCGAAGGTGGTTAGGCTGGTGGGAACCGCCCCAAACCTCTCGAGACCAGGCGTTCCGAAGCCTTTGGCACGCTCTTCCAGCGGCTCCAGGCAGCCGCTCTTCTCCTAAGAGTGACCCTGGTAGAGGGGGGAGGAGAACTGTGCAAGCTAACCTCCCACGAATTACTGTGGAAGTGCGGAGGAAAATCGTCTTTCTACAGGGGTCTGTGCACTTCCATGATAGTCGGTGGGAGGCTACTTGGCAATAGAGCTATACGAGTAAACTCTGAGCAATAGAGTCATACAGGAGGCAAAATATTTAACGTCCTTTATATACTAGTTGAGCAAATTTTGGTGAGCAAGCAACGTACAGAAAAGGGACAAGGCCGCGGGATTGCGCTTTGTTTTGAAGAGAAAGGGGGAGGGGATTGCGAGGGGATGTGGGAGGTGTTTGTTTTTTTTGGTGGGGCAAGGCAAGCAGTAAAGGGTGCTGGTATGCTCCTACTGTTCCATCACCTCTTCAGGCAATCCCTGAAAGGCAAGGCAAGACTTGGCTGATGAGTCGGCCCCACTTCAACCTGGGTTGTCGAAGAAAAACAACAACGACCCCGGATTGAAATCAGGAAGGGTACGACTTTCCTGGTCTGTTCCCAGATCCCCTGCTAAAAGTGTGGTTTTTATTCCTTGAATGACTACAACCACTAAACCCTGAGCTGCTCCCAGACTCCCTACTAAATCCTCAAAACGACTAAAAACCGGGCATGGCTGGGAACCACCAAGTCTATCCAAGGGCAAAATCAAATGCCCTTCAGCTCTGTCCGCTTCATCCAAGCACCAACTACCCGAAGTTGCGGGACGTTTGCGCCTCCCTTGAGTCGCTCCACAAAGCTTGTTTTGGGCTGACGGGCACTCCGGAAAGCCCATTTCTTAGGCGTGCGAAAACTCGAGGAGGGCCTTTTGGATGGTGCGTCCGTCCACTGTTTGAGAAAGTGCGAAGATTTTGGCTTGCCCGTCGACCCGCATGCTGAGCATACCTGCCCGGATAGGCAGCCCAAGACCTGAAGCCTCTAACTCCCCCGTGCCTTCCTGTAGCAGCTCGTGGCAACAGGCGCCCGCCAGTGACAGAGAAATTCAGATTTTGGGGGCAACTTTCTCTGACCGAAGGAGTCCTCTTAGTGAACAGGTCACGAGGATGGTCGTTTTGGAAGGGAAGCCTATGCACTTCCATGTTCGGCACTGCAAAGTGACGGTTCCACTCTGCAGCCGCACCACAGTTGACGCACATGGAGGTTGATCCAGCACTTTTTCAAAGCCATGGTAGGGGTGCCAGCATCAAATTGGTGATTCACAAGCGGAATGGCGAAAATCTTCTGGCCCAAGTCAGTGGCCCATGGCCATTGGGCTTGACGACTATACGCGCCCAAGGTACAAGGGTGCCTTGCTGAGTGGATAGGCCCAAATGGGCCTGAAGTGGTTGTTACCACTGAAAGACAAAGTATGAAAAGACTCAATGTTGGGAAAGTGAGAAGTTTACTGCGCCCACTAGGGTACTTTCTGAGTGAGCTTGCCTTAATTCCTCTCGAACGGCAAGCTCGAGCTACTTGCCTTCCTTATTGTGTTCCGAAAAGATGCCCCCACGTTACAAATGGATCCATCTCCTGGTAAATCCTTGAAGCCATCGCCCACTCTTTTCTGGGGGGGCTTTTTTAGGGAGATTTCTAGGCCCTGAAAAGTGAAGGAGCATTTCTTCTGGAAACCATCGCCACACTGGTCGGTGGAGGTCAGAGCGAAGGAGGCCCGATCGAACATCCTTTGGTCCTGGCCTTCAATGCTCCCAGCCTCCGGCGAGAGACGTTTCTGGGGTGAGGGCCAAGCTCCGGGTGCTCAGCGGGGGGAAGAGGTCGGGGAATTAAACATACTCGTTTTCACCAAACCATACGTGCTTCTTGTTTTCTCTCTTGTTTTTAATAAACAACAACAGAACAAGTAAGACACCCATCAATCCCCTTTTGGCTTCCTTGGGACAAGAATGACGGCGATGTGTTTCCATCTTCGCCCAGGTCTGTAGGTCCAAACAGCTCTTGCTTCAACGGCCAGATTTCACCCGCGAACACTAAAAACACCTTGCGCAGGTAAGTGGCAGTTTTCGGGAACCCAAAGAGGGCAACACGGATGGCGCCTGGCAACGCAACATGTCTCAAGAGAGACCATGGAGTGGCCGAAACTCCAACACAATTTGGCGTCTCTTTGAATACCTTTTCTGGGCTTGTGCAATCGGGACATTGATGTGTCTTCTTTTTGTTTCTCTTTTTTTGGGGGGACACCCGGCCGTTGGGATTACCTTTTCTTGGGTGGCAAGCGATGGAGGCAAAAGCCACCCACCAAGTTTCGGGGCCGATTTTGCGACCAGCTTCCTTGTGGATTGGGCCACATGCCAATTACCAAAAATGATACCCTCAGCTTGACACAAAGAAATCTCCCCTCGACAAACCCGCTGGGTTCCATACCACAAGGAGTCAAAGTCCAAACGCTCGGGAGCTGAGACTTCGTGCAGATGGCTTGCAAGTTGAGCATCTCAACAGGCTAAGGCATCCGGCTTGCCCAGCGTCGTCATCACCTGACGGAACAGGGCCCTTTAACATCCTTCAGCCAGCCCCCGAACGGAATCTGGGCAGAACGCTATGGCAACATGGAAGTAAGGAAGCCGAGTACAGGACCTTTATTGTGGGTTTCAGCTCCTGTTTCGTCCGGCTCGATGAGCTCGCCAAAAAAAAAGGGATGGGCCGCGCAGGTTCCATGATCATGAAATGCATCGCAGTGTCCTGACCGTAGCTTTGGGATTGGTTACTTCTAGCGTGCCCAAAGCTAGTTAGATAGCAATCAGCTCCTGGCCTCAGCAAGTGATTCGCTCATTGTCGGCATAGTGGGATTTTGCCCTCTGGACGTCTTCCGTCCCTGGAAGGTGTCGCCCCAACTCAGGGGCAGTTTGTTCCAAAAGCAAAAGCCACCAATGGCTGCAGGGCACACAATGCAATTATTGTTAAGCAAACACATTGTGGAGGCCCCCCTCTCCATAGCTCTTAAATCCGCAACCCATGTCCAACTGAGGACTGACGAAATTCCCAGATGTTTCAAGCTGAATAGTTTTAAGCTTCTTGGCCTGCAGCAAGCTGAGGCAAACTCTCCAAATGCATCATATTCTCACAGAATTGCAGGTCTAACTGAACTGTCCCAGTCGTATGTTTCAATGTCTAGTGCTTGAAACACGAACAACCACACACGCATATCTATGTGTACATGTATATATATATATATACATATGTGCACACATTCATACATTCATAATATGTGTCCCCGTGTGACATGGTTGGCGAGTATCCTCCCCATGTCCTGCATTGTAGTTGGATAAAATTGTGCCAAAGCTACCAACTTCACCCCCCACATGGTAGTAAGCATTAATCGCTGCTTTGGGCGGAAACTGTGTTGCTCCAAACGCAGCCGGTGTCGTTTTGGCGTTGCTTTAGCTACCAACCAAAAAAGGGAGTCCGAATCCCATTTCGATAAACCCTATAGTGGGGCTATGTCAACATAAGGGACCCCAACAATGGATTTCGTGTTTCTCTTGGTTTCCCTTTTCACCACCCTGAAGAGGGCTTCCGATGACTGAATTCGAAACCAGGTCCCAACCTCGCCTCATGAAAGCTGAAAAGGAAGTCCTCAGAGCGAAGGATCACTGCCTTGGCTGGAGCTGGACACATTTTTGCCGGTTGAAAGGAAGGCAAGGAGCTAAGTCCGCCAACGAACTCAGGATGCGAACTAATAACTCTCTGGGACCATGCTTGCTTGCAACAAACCAGTCCGGCCATCAACTCCCGAAAGGCTACCTGGCTGCGTTTTCCTCATCATGTGCAACAAGGTGCTTCTTTGAGGTTCAATGCCAGGCACGCCCGGGCCAACATTGGAGAGTACTACCCCTGATTTTGAGCGGCTTTCCCCAAAAGCAGAATGGGTCGTCAAAACTAGGGGCCCTTTTTGGTATCCTGCTGAAAAGCGTCCCAAGCCGCCAAATTCAAATTCCAAATTTTGAATCGAAATGCGTTCGGCATCGCCTTCTCATCTGCCTCTGAGACCGCTCACACCCCACACTTGAAGGCATGCGGAAGGCAAGGCCAAATAAATGGTAAAGTATCATTTTGGCGCGCAGTACCCATCTCAGGTGGAAAGTCCTGACCGTTTGGCCGGTTGTCATGGAAGCCATGAAGCAGCCAGTAAGCGACTCATTCCCTTTTAGCTCTCCTTGCCCGTTCACCGACAACACAAGTGATACCTTAAAGGGACCCTACGTTCCAACAGCTGGAAGCTTGGGCGCCTTTGACCGAATAGGCTCGGAGCGGCTCCAGGCTAGGGTTTCGGAAGGGTACCAGGAGTTGCACTTGGGGATGCCACCTGGGCATATTGTTTATTGTCTAAAAAAACAAGCAGCCAATCAAACAAAAGGTCGGAAAACAGGCCCCATGGCGTATCAAACTGGAGCCGAGTTCCGCCCATCTCCCCCTTCACCTCTCCCAACCCGCCTGGTCACTCGGGTACACCTCATCCTTGGTGCGCTGGAAATCACTACGTGCGGGTCGTTGCGCAGCTTGCTGCCACGGCACAAGGGAAGAAAACTGGTCTTTGAGGAAAGGACACAGGAAACCAAACTGAGTTCCAAAAAACAAGTCCCTCGACGAGTTTTGATCTCGAGGCGAAACCCCTATTGCGCAAGGCACGCTTGGGACCCCCAGCGTCCATGTAGCTGCGCACCGTGTCATTCCAGAGGTCCATGGCGTTCTCGTAGATCAAGGAGTCGTGCTCGATCTGGCCCAGCAGCTGCCACCTGAGCAACCAAGCACCTATGTAGCTGGGTGGGTGGCAAAATCAACAGGCTTGGGCCCAACAAAAATGGCACCTACACACCGACACACGGACAACACACGACACACCTGAACAGGCCAGGAGCTCACTCAATGCTCAGCAACGGAAAGATCCTAGGGCATTTCTTCAAACACGTTCTCAGGTAGGTTTTCAGGCTGAGCAAGCCTTCCCATGGACCTTGATGGCCTTTTTTGGGAGGCCTTTGAATTAGTCAACCTGGTGGATACTTGGGAGGTTGTTAGAAGTGCAAACGAGTCCATTTTCTTGCGAGACCCTGCGTTACCCTGTTACTGAGGGTCCTACACAGGGCCGGAAAGCAAAGGGGATGACAAAGCCAGAACGGCTTGAACCTGTGCCATCAAAATTTCACACCAGTGTAATTAACCAAGGGGCCGAAAAGAAGCAATTCTCCTTTCTAATGGGACACCCCACCTTCTCATCAACCAGGGGTAATGATTCATCATGTGTTCAGCTTCCCTCTAGTTGGTGGTTTGGAGCCAGTGGTTTGGAGTTGACGTCCTTCTACAAGACAAGAAGCTGATGGGTTCAGATGGTCAAACCAACCCAAACTATGTAATCCAAGCCAACCCAAGCCAACCCAAGCCAATCCAAACCACCAAGCCAAGGCAAACGATTCGAACAAAGGCAAACCAATCCGATCTCCCCAGGCAATCCAAACCACCAAGCCAAGAAAACCAAGGCAAACCAATCCAACCCAACCCAAGCCAATCCAAACCCATGCTTCCATTTGCTTAAGCCCCCTGGATAAAATAAATAAACCTAGTTCCAGTAGTCATAGGTTTCCTTTAAAACCAACAGGGGAAGAAGCAATGGGAACCATGCCGTGTCCCCCTTGGACAATCCCCACGCACGGTCCACGCCGATCGCCGAGCGGCAGCTCCTGCGCCGGCAGTTCTCGGCGGTGTTGGCCCTGGCCGCTGCGGCGTCGGCGTCACGAGGCTTGGCCCAAAGGATTTGGGTGGGCAGGGGCTCCATTTGGTGTGGATGTGTCGTGTTTTTGTGTTTTTTGTTTGGGGGGGGGGAAGTTCCCCGCTTTCTTGGTGGCTTGAAAGGGGAGAGGAAAACTTGTTTTCTTTTGGGGGATCTCCAAGAAAGCAAGGTAGGCTTGGGTGGTTGATTAACCTGGTGGTTGACCCGAAGGCTTAATTTTACCCAAAGGTGTCACATGCTGCGTGATCAACCCAAAAGCGCTTAATTTTATCCTAGGGGAATTGCTGGGAAACAAACCACACACCCAGCACCATGGCGAAGCAGCACTCAGCACACATCCACAAATGACTACAAGTGCTAGCCATGGGCGAGCTAGCGAGAGACTCAATCCAGACACGGCCTGGCCAACCTGGCGCGGACATGTTCAAAGCTAATGCTCAAACCTGTAGGGATACTGTATGTCCAAAGCTAATGCTCAAACCTGCAGGCAGCAAAGGCATGTAGCATCGGCACTCATCCCTAGCTGCCCCTTGCAAGGTGCCCAGGCGCTACGGGCATTTTTTGTGAGAAAGCGAGCAATCCCTAAAAGTAGTAGCTTGCCCCATGGTGCTACGGATGCAAGCACGCAGCCAAATCCAAGTGGGCAGAAAGACACGTATCGTTGTTTGCAAAAACACAGTCGTGAAGTTCGCATTTGGCCCCAAAGCGTCGCCTTCTGCCCTGAACCCCGGCCCCAGTCCAGCCATTGCCCCTCCCCTAGACAAACTTGGAGGGGCCCCTTATGTCCAACTAAGAATTGTCAAAACAAGAAGCAACCCACCCACCCACCCACCCACCCAACCAACCAAACAAACAAACCAAACCAACCAACCAGCCAACCAACCAACCAACCAACCAACCAACCAAGCCAACACGCAAACCGCGCAGCATTCCTGAAAGAAGGTCTCCCCGAGTAAGAGATTCCAACTAGGCAACTCCTGGCATAGCCTCGTATCCCACTCAAACATCACCTCAGTGAAACTCGATCCAACACTTGGCAACCAGGTCTTCCAAACCTTCCGCCTTACACAGAAACGCAATCGAATTGGCAAGCAGAAGGCTGGTCTTCCAAACTAAACCCTCCCAAGCCTTACCGCCCGTTGAACGCGGTCTACGGAGCTCCTGGGACACCGCCTGAGTGACACCCCGACGCCCGGCCAGCGGCCGGATCTCAAAGAAGTTCCGGAGCTCGCGGCTGCAGCTCTGCAGCCAGAAGTGGGGCTCTTTCACCAGCAGGATGCAGAAGACTGGCCGGCGCAGAAACAAAAAGCAACAACACCACCACCGCCGGTGGTGAAGGGAAAGAAGAGGAAACAAATATAACAAGAAAAAACAAGAACAAGCAACACAACATGATCACAGATAGTTTAAGTGTTGAGTGTTGTGTGGTTCAATAAAAAGAACGTTTTGGAAGGTTTGGAACTGCTATCGTTTGGAGGGGCAACAATGATGTCTGATAGCCACATCAACATGCTTTGTTAATGTCATCACGGTTAGCATAACTCTACATGCCTGCTCGCTGTTCATGCCCACATGTGAAAGACTAGGAGCCACCTTGTCAATAAACTTTATTGTGTTACTAGTTTCCGAAGTAGTCTGACCAGCGCAAACCGTAGTACATTTCTATGGCTTATTGTCGTGAAGTGCTTTGATGATTTCAATGAGAACAAGCAGAAACGCACAACCTCTAGTCGCGTATGGTCTCGTTCTGTGTTGCGAGGGGGACACAGAATAAGGCTACGCGCGACTGTTTTACACAAGTTGTGTTTTTCTGCGAGTTCTCATTGCTGTGGCTTTGTTTAGCGCACGCAGGAGACTCAGCCTACCATCCTTGCCTTCCCAAATCTATTGTCTGGGAACTTTTTGTTGGCCACCAAAAGTTGTCTCCTCAACACGTATGCCAAAACTCACCTTCTGACTGGCGTGGCCAAACAAAGCTCCCAAACTGTCCGCTGCCCCCACTAAAATGGTGCAAACCAAAAACTGGCAAAAGTCCAGGAACTCAGATAGTGAGAGGGGTTTTCCGGGACTTGTTGTTGGCCACCAAATGTAACTCGTCTTCCCAACAGGTATGGCAGACAGTTCGGGCGCCCGAGCAATACGACGGCCCCATTTCCTTCGTCCCAACCGCGGGCGGGCCGTCTTCCGCCAGCCCGGGCGGCGAGCGGCGGTTCGCTCGGTGCTTCCAGTCCTCGGTCCCAATGGACGTTGCTCAGGTTTCCATGGGCTTCCCCGGTGTTGCCATTGGGCGGTCTGGAAGCACCCGCCAAAATGGTGCCTCCCTTTTTGTCCCTTCCTTCTGGGAAAATTAAGGCTGCTGGTCTACGTACTACCCAATCCGAAAGGCCCGTAAGGGTATGCCTCGAAATCGGGACTTGGACCCCGAAAATTGTGTTTTTGTTAGCTTTGCATGAAACCAGCCCCTGCGGTTGGCACACAAATCTGGAGTTCCAACCAGATCAACTCAAGCAAGAAGCCCACAATCAGGGCCCATTGGTGCTGGAATCGATTGACGGGCTTTGGACACCAACCTGGGGATTTTCGCAAAGGAAGCCACAAGGCATGGTTTATAGGGGCCATCCCCTGATTCCTAGAGAAAACAACAAGTAAAAGGAAGTTGCACCGAGGGTTGCGGGAAAAACACGCATTGTTTATGTAATTCCTCGCTGGCTTCAACCCCCCATTAAACAACAATGGTAGACCACTGAAGACAAACACACATACTTACAAATGACACTGAGCGCAATGGCCTCGAAATGATTCCAATCTCAACTTGTTCCGAGCTGGCTACATGCCCCGTAACAAAATGCCACCATCTCTTGACACATCATTTGTTGGCACAAGAAGATACCACAAGCACATGGCACCATATGAGACAGCGTCAAAATTACTTGTCTGGGGTGTATTCATTTGGTGTTAGGACGTCCCGTATCGTTTTACAGGTTTTGCTTAAAAAGGACGTCCCGTATCGTTTTGCAGGCCGTGGATACGGGACACATCCCTGCTCCCGTGCTTGCTACCAAACGATTCTTTGCGGGGACAGCGCCAACGAAACAGCAACGGAATGGAAGCTCCCACAAGCGGGCGTTCCCCGGTACAAAGCCACACGGCGGCCAAAGCGCAATCCCTGCAAGCAAAGCAACTCACACCACGGGCCGCAGATTCCTTTTAGTCCCCCTCAGACTTGAGGAGGAGGAACTTGCACTTGACACAGAGTCCTCCTCCAACGGCTGTTGCGCCGCTGCTTTTGCCTAGCTTTGCACCTCTTCTCAATTAGCTCTCCCCCTTGCTGGGTCCGCCACGCTTTCTCTCATCTCGTTGCCTCCTCAAGTCCTGCCTTTGTCCAGCGAGTGCGCCCCACGCTGTAGTCTCGAGGCAGTTTCAGGCGTGCCAGCAAACTCACGCAGTGTTGCGTCAATGTAGTTCCTCACCCGCTTGGCTGCTGGAGCTGGGGTTGTTCGCCTCACACCCAGGGCACACGTGCAGCCGCTTGGGGAGAAAGGACGAGGCTGCGTCCAAAGATGCTTGTCACGCCCCCGCGGCACCGCCGGCGCTGGCCGCGAGGCTGGCTTCCTCACCGCGGTGGTCTTCTTCACCTTCTCGCGGGCACTCTTCGCGATCACCTTGACAATTGCTTTTCCGCGCTGTTCGGCTCAGCCTTTGGAGCCGAGGCAGCTCTCTCTATGCGAGCATGCTGCCCCTCCTGGGTCAAAGCTTTTCACTTCTCCTCAACACGCACTCCTCAACCCATCGTGATTCTTCCTGTGTCAGCCCAGCGCCGCCGGTTTGTGGCTTCACGGCTGCGAGGCTGCCTGGCAATGTCTGGCATTACAATCCTTGCCCTCCAGCATTGCAGTTCTTTCACAAGCCACCCCCAAATGTGTGTCTCCTCGTAACTGCAGGGGTAGCGCTTTGGTGTCAAGTGGGCCACCCCCGACATGTAGCATCCTGCCCCATTGCGGGGGTATCGTCGGGGTATCGTTTTGGGGTATCGTTTTGGTGGTCGTTTTTTTCTCGAAGCGGCGCTGTTTGACAACTGTCTTACTTCCGCTCTAAGGAGCCTCAGAGAAGCGCTGGAGCGTGCAAAATGCAGTCCTGCAGTTTGCTTGCGGCCGAAGAAAGGTAACCTCCCAAGCACCTTGCGTGGCCAGCAACCAGCGGGACATCCTCAGAATGCATAGCTGCCGTCTTGGTTTCCGTCTATGGACGCTCCACCCTCCAGCTCTCGAGCTTTCTAGCCTTTTTCGTAGCTTTTTCATGCGCAGAGTGCAGATGCACGCATTCTTCGAAAGAGCTCGCTCATTTAGTTCCAGTATTGCGCAAGTTCCTTCTAAACTTCGTTGACCAAACGGAGAACTACAGTTGCACCCCTTCTAAACTTCCTTGACTGAACGGAGAACTACTTTTACATCCCCTTCAAAAATGCAAACGCTGGAAGAAAGACTTTTGCCCAACTACAACTCGTAATGCTTCTTCCTGGCCGGCAGTTACCCCTGCAATGTGGTGGACACATGCTAGAAACATTCGCCCCGTTCAAGCACAGCTTGTTTTTGCCACACGTGTCTTGTCACAAGCCAGCTGGTGCTCCAAATGTGAAGTTCCCTTTTGATCCCCCTGCCCTGCAACCCTTGCAGAGGAAGGGCCTAGTTGCAAGTCTCGACCAAGCAAATAAACACATGCTCTAGGAGAACACACAAACTAACAAGACATTTTTGTTTGCAACCAATGCCAACTTGCTGAAGGGGTATCGTTTTTTTGGACGTCCCGTATCGTTTTTCGAGCAACAACGCAAACACAATACGTGCATGAAACACCCCCATATAAAGTACATGACGGTATTTTTGAGGCTAACTCATATATGGTTCTTCCAATTGTATGAGGTCGCATTTGGACACGTGCCGTTCAAACAGGGCTCCCTATATGTCCCCTCCAGAACATCAACCCGTAAAAAGACAACTCAACTCTAAATCGGCCCAATTTGTGAGGCTTAGGCCAGCAGGAGGGAATCTACAGGAAACTCATTTTGAATTGCAGCAAAACTGGGTTGCTGTTGACCCCTCTGCAAGTTTGACCTTTCCGGGCATGGAAACTCCCGTTGCCACAAAGTTGCAGACCAAAGATCCCGCAAACCAAATTGCCCGAAAGAAAATGTTGGAAACCGATGGATATGAAAAGCTGACGGCATCTCATCAGTCTCAGATCGCTGCGGGGTGCGCCTTGTTGGTGTGCCAATCCTTGGGCGCGCTCGCTCTGGCGGCTTCCAAGGCTCCGGATTTCCGATTCGTTTCCCGGCAAAGCGACTGACTGGAAAGGAGGACCCTGAACCAAACACTGTGGATGGACGAAATCCATTTCGCACCACCTAAAAAACCCTGGGCTCTGGGGGAATGATGATTCTCCTCTAAAGAAAAACAAACAATGGTTTCCCATGGCTTCAAAGTGGTGCAGGATTTCGTCCACAGTATCACACACTGTGGGGATTTCTGTCCAAACCATTTTGAGGAGTCGCCGGTAAAGATCGTAGATACGCGGGGCAGAAAGCCCTGTTCTTGGTGCCGGATACATCATACATCGGACAATCACCCCTTCCCTTTCGGTTTCCCGTGGGCAAGCTAGAAGCTAATTGTGGCCTATCTGGCCCGGAAAGGCAGTGCTCACCAATCTTAGTTGGATCCCCAAGCCTCAGCGAGTAACCGTTGTCCTAACAGTTCAAGCGTGGTTCCCCTGGCTGCCTACAAAACAGGGAAACGGAATCATTTGGAATGGTAAGGAATGGAAGTGTAAACCTCCACGGATTACTCTTGCAGCTGTGCAATGTGGGACTGCGTGAATCTGGGGCAAGGATGCAAACCCGCGTCAGAGAGTTACCAGGCATTGGTGGTCTACAAACGTCGTCTTTGCTCAGTCCAATTCGGTGCCGACTGACCTTTCCCTGCCACTTACTGCATTTCGGTGCTTTTGCCCATGCATTTCCGTGTTTTTGCCCATGCCCCCCGAAGCGACTCGAGCATTTCACCATCCAAGTGGAAAAGGCACCAACAATTTGACCAAGCCCTCCTCAAGGAGTCCTTTCTTGCCAAGAGCCCCCGCATTTAGAATCTCCACGTCGAAACGCCGCTCCAACTCCTGCGCCGCTGTGCCAAGGGTGACCTATGCGTCATGCATGCACCACAAAAAATTACTTCGCTTCGAGCAATCCCCATCCTCCACACTCAGGAGCATACGGCCGTGAACAGTTGTGTGAATTCAAGCATGGTTTTCAAGTGGCTTGGAGCCTATGACTGCTCAACAAGCTTTGCATTGAGAGCCTTATCCACCTGTCCGTGTGTCAAACTCCACTTGTCTGCGAGCCGATCTCGAGAACTCAAACATCGGTTCCGTTAACAAAAGCCAAGCCCCTCCCAAAAAGCAACCCGAGCTTATTCACAACCCAAAGCAACACAAAAAACATCACCCTTTCCGAGCCTCAGGGTACGCTCAAAACACGAAGGCACCAACATGAAATGTAAACCCGGCTGTGCGCCGGGCGGGACATTAAGCAAAACCAGACTCGCGAGCTGCTCTGGCGGGATACTGGCGGGATCCACTGGCGAATGCTGGCGAGGCGCTCCGGCTCGATACTGGCCGGATACTCGGCAGGATCCACTGGCAAGGGATACTCAGCGGGACACTCGGCAGGATCCACTGGTGAGCTACTCTGGGATACTCAGCGGGATACTCGGTGGGATCCAGTGGCGGGCTGCTGTGGTGGGATACTCGGCGGGATCCACTGGCGAGCTACTCTGGCGGGATACTCGGCGGGATCCACTGGCAAGCTACTCTGGCATACTCAGCGGGATGTTCGGCGGGATCCACTGGCGGGCTGCTCTGGTGGGATACTCGGCGGGATCCACTGGCGAGCTACTCTGGCGGGATACTTGGCGGGATCCACTGGCGAGCTACTCTGGGATACTTGGCGGGATTCCCTGTCGGGCTGCTCTGGTGGGATACTCGGCAGGATCCACTGGCGAGCTGCTCTGGGCGGGATACTCGGAGGGATCCACTGGCGAGCTGCTCTGGCGGAATACTGGGTGGCGGCGTGGTGTAGAAGCATCGCAAACGCGGATTCCAACATAAAATCTAACAACCCCTTCCTGTCGGGTGGGCGGAAAAACGCGCAAAGCCCCGGCAAGCACGCCTGCATCTGGACAAATCCCTGCAATTCCCAACCCGAGCCGAAAACAAGAACCCCCCCCCCCCCAAGGACCGTGGTCAGTGCGAGCTCGTTTTACTCTTTTACCCTGGGCTCGTGAAAATGTATCACGCTTGCATGAAGAGAAGTGCTGCTATTGACCTGCCGAGCTGACTGCCCAGTTGCAAAACAACTGATGGTTACGAGAGCTTGCGATCTCCGCTGCACCCACGGTTCGCTGTTTTCTGCAACACGTCTTGCAAACAGCCCTAGCCAAACGAGCACAGAGAGACACACACACACACACAAACACATTGTTTATTTGCTTTGTGGCTTTGTTGTTTCTCTGTCTTTCTCTGTCTCTGTCTCTGTCTCTGTCTCTGTCTCTCTCTCTGTCTTTCTCTCTTTCTCTCTCTCTCTCTCTCTCTCTTTCTCTCTCTCTCTCTCTCTCTCTCTCTCTCTCTCTCTCTCTCTCTCTCTCTCTCTCTCTCTCTCTCTCTCTCCGTCTCTCTCTCTCTCTCTCTCTCTCTCTCTCTCTCTCTCTCTCTCTCTCTCTTCTCTCCCTCGTTCTGGGTCCTTCGCCAAGGCGTTGGTGCAGGAATGGTACAAACCCATGATCAAGACACGCCTCGCGAGTGCCGGTGGCACTATGCACCCAGAACAATATTGTCAAAGCTTCTTCTTTAAAATGCGTCTTTACTTCGCTTAAAGTGCGTGGCAGAACTCACCCCCCCAAAAAAAGGTTTGATGCTTCGAAATCATATGATTGCCAAACATGAGGTTTTTTGGGGGGCGCAGCGTTCGTGCAAACCACACGCGCTATCTTCCCCAAAGGTTGTCGTATTCGGTCGTATTGGAATGGTTTGCCCCCCTGCCCCCCAAGTACGAGTAGGATGTGCAACTGCCATGATGTGTAAGCATCTTCCAGGCCGGACTCAAGCGTCTGGCTGAAGCCGGCACGGGGATGACCTGGGAATGCTTTCTTTGCTTCATAGGAACTGTTCCGTGCAGGGCCGTGTAATTACAAAACAGCACAATTTCCCTCAAATGGGCTAGCTTCGAAGCCCGTGCATTTTGTTAGGGGAAATCCGGCTTTCCCCAAAGGCAAAGGTCAAGGGCCGAATTGCTCCACATGCGGGGTACGGACGAGCAACGTGAGGGCAACATCACCTAAGCCACAGCTCCGGCCTTTTGCCTGCGGGGAATCGCGCTCTCGCCCTCGATTCTGAGTCTCCATTCGGAACCTGGCATGGGTCCCCATCCCCATGACGGAAGGGATAGGGGTACGATGGGACACCTAGTGACTGTCCCTTTGATTTCTGTATGGCAAGCTGTGTGCATGCTGTGTGCATGCAACACCCATCTTGGAATACGGTGGGATATGGTGGGAGGAATGCAAATGTACCTACCCCTATGCCAGTAGTGGAAAGGCCTTCAGCCAAATGCTGCCAACGTTTCCCACAGGAAAAACAGCATTGAGGATCAGTCCTATGCCGGCAGTTCTCATCAGATTCCAGAATGGGGGGAGGCCTTTGGAATCCCCAGGTTGCATCATAATCGCTCGCAGGGTGGGGTTGACTTGAAAAAGTCCCGCATGGCTGCCTTCTTTCAGGCTTGCGATTTTGATGGAAACACCAAGGAAAACCACCATTTTAAGCGTTTTAAGGTGGGTCCAAGTCTTGGCTCACCAAAAGATCAACAGAACCATAGGCGTTTCCTTTGAACCTGGCCTTCGATAGCAAGCTCTCTGCAGGTCCAAATGGTTGCCCAGATTGGAACTTTCTCCCCCCAGGGAAAAAAGAAGGAAAAATGGGTTGGCCCAAAATACGAGAACAATTGAGGGTGAGGATCATGAAAAAATGATTTCACCCACGAAATGATCAACGAAAAGGAGAGAAGGATGAGAATCGCACCCCTCAAGTACTGCTTTTTGGACCGTGGGAAAACACAAAAAGAGTTGGGACCCGGGTGCGAACCCAATTTGCCAATCGCGTGCAGTCCAAGCGCGCCTGGCGCAGGAGCACGTGCTTGCGGGTCCTCGGAAACAACGGAACGAAGCCAAAGAAAACCGAAATCGCTGGATGTCCTTTTCAACATTGTGAATGGCTGTACCCCCCCCTGCAAGAGAAGCCCTTTAAGCTTAAAGGGGGGGGGTAAAGGAGGGGGGGGGTACGGGCTCCAGAACAAAAATGCCATTCACCAGTTCCAACAGAAAATTGCCCGCTTTTAAAGAGGTGCAAGCAAGGGGGAAACAATCAGAGGGATTTTTCTGGGCCTGCCAATGCCAGCTCTACCCCCTCCAAAAAAAAAAGGCAGATGGGCCCGGTTCAGTCAAACATGAAGCCAGTGCCAATTATGTGCCACTATCTCCAAGACATCAGAAGTAAGGTATCCAAGTAAAGAACCTTGATTGATCAGGACCTTGATCAACGGGACCCAATGATCAACCAAACGTTGATGTTTTCCTGGGCTCGTGCTAATATGTAAAAACATCAGGTCGGTCTGCGGGGGATACGCTTTTGTTGAAGCGCCCTGCAAAACACAAAGCACCCCCTTGATTCCCTTGAGACACCCAGCCTCCTAAACCAAGAAGCAATGTTGATAACCCACGCACGCTGAGAACATGTCATGTACGGGGAAGGATCCTTCCTTTGGCGTACTGTATTGCTGTGGAGTGCTGGGTGTTAAATTGGGGGATTGGAAAACAAAACCCGCCATGACCCATCCCCGTTGGTTTTAAGTAGGGAAATTGAAAACTCTTATGTTACAGAACTCCTGGTAGCTCCGCTCCCTCGAAAGAAGGCGAATTGGGAGCTGGGATCCCTCCAAGCCGCAAGTCAGACATCTGTCCATTTCGGCACCGAGGGCTGAGACTGGGCCCCCGGCTCAGGACAAGGTACTGGCTCGTAGGGGCGCGCCGCTCCTTCGAGCCGGGAGCCCTCTTTTGCATCCGTGGTCTTCCAAGGACCCGCAAAACCCGGGTCCTTCTTGATTTTGATGGCTCCAAGTGGAAATTCGGCCAAAGGCCTTCTTTTCCAGGGTCCTGGAAGATCAAGGTATGAAGGGGGTTGCAAATGGGAAACCGAAACCTCGCAACGGCCACCTTTTTCCGGCCATCGCAAAGTGTCGATTGAACTCCAGGTCTTGCTGACCTTTCGGAGTCCTTGACATATCAAAGGTCCGCCATGTTGAGAAACCCCGCGAATGGGGGTGCAAAAATAGGAGCCCTGGGTCGGATGCAAGGAAACCAGACATTCACATGTGAAAGTTCAATGTAGAGCTGTAGCAGCATTGGGACTTTACCTTGATACGTCTTGCATGCGCATGCTGCGCTGTAAGCTAATTCCGTACAGCACTCCCGTCGGGGATGGAAGGTTGGGTGAACCCTGTGTAAAGGATTGGGGGAATGACAGTCGCAGAGTTGCAGCGGTGGCCACATGAAAGCCTGCAGTGTACATGCAACTTCAACAGTATCTGCTTGAGGGCATGGTGGGACATAAGGGCCACAAGCCCCCCTCACAAGCAAAAATCATGTCGTACATATAACCTAAGTTATATAGTATTACTTTTGAATAGCTCATGGAACCCAACTTTGGTAGAGTCCGCATACTGAGCACCCTCCCCCCTGGTTGCCCTTGGCGGTGGTTCTGAGACACCCTGCGTAGAATCTCATCTCGTGCTTCCACTGCCTCGCGCGACCAGTCGCGACCATTCGCTTCCGGGAACGCATGGAACAACCGTTCAGCTTGGGGCCCTGAACAAAAACAGAATGATTGGGCACCCTCGTAAAACAAAGGGAATCCGTTTTGGGAACCCTGGACAACTGCGGAAAAGAACAAACCCCTTTCCCTCCTGACCCTGGCTTCCTGCACCACCCTCAGCTGGCCCCTAGGAAACTAAAACCTCCACCGACCCGAGACTGCCCGCGGAACCTGGAAAATGTTCTTAGGGCCTTCTTAGACGTGGTTACGAGGGCTCTGAAAACCAGCCTGGTCAAAAGCTGGCTACCCCAACGCCTCTCAACTCACCAATGCCTCAGGGCTCGTGTTTTAACAGCTGGCTTCAACGGCCCAAAGGCAAGGAGCATCAGGTGGGAAGATGCAGCCCATGCTCAGTGCACCGTTCAACATGAGCGCGACAGCCTTGAACCAGACGTCAGAAGCCTCTACCAAAAAAAAAGAAAGAAGGCACGCAAAAATGCAACTCGCGAAATGCGAAAAATGCCCCAAGGCTTTTTTCAAGGACCGAAACTGCCTCTCCGGCCACCCGCCTCACTTTGGCCGGAACATCGGATCCAACCCGAGGAAAGGCTGCACCGGACCCGGACCTGAGGAAAACACCTGGGAAACAAAATGCGTTGGCTGCAACCGCCAATCAGCCACCCGCAACCGTCCCAACCGCTGGGTTTTGGACACTGCCAAGGGGATTCTGGACATTGGAGCAGCGGATGCGCTGGCCTAAACCAGCGAAAACGGACCTTCGGAAACGCCCGTGTCCTCCACCAAGGCCACACCAAAGCAAAGGGGCGCCAGTGGGGGGGGACATTTAGCCACGCATTCGTCATCCCAAGTGCCTCTTGTAGCTGAGCTTGCAAGTCCTGGATCGCGTCCACAGACCCGCTCCTGACGTGAACATTGAGTCTTTCGGCGGAGTTTGAGGACAGGAGGCGTCTTTTTGACACATATGTTCAAAAGCTGTACCCAAACAAAAGGGAAGGCTTCTACATTCGCGGGTCGCCCGAACTATCTTCCCAAAGGCTTCCAGGGGGTCTCCAGCTTGAGCCCAAGCATCCAGGGAGTTTAGAGGGGATCTCGTTTTAAGCTAGTCCCACAAAAGCGATCCCCGCCAGAAAGGAGCCGCCGAGCACAGCAAGGCTAGGATTCTTTGGGGGAAGCAAACCCACCACAAATAGATCGCGCGACAAACGGGTTCTACTTGGTCCAAACAAACCCTCAGAAAGCAGGTCAATTAACAAGTTGCCCAGTGATCCCGCCGGTTGGAAAAGGGTACGATGTCTGGTTCGTGTTGAACACGGATCACAAACATGGATACGCATATGGTTCGACCAAGAAACTGGACCAAACCCAAACTACTGAGAACCAGCAAGCAAGCAAAGCATGGACATCAAACCGATCATAAGAAGGTTCCCTTTTCCAAACCAAATCCTAATGGATTGCCTTCAGAATTGCTTCTCACCGTTTGCCCCCTCCTTCAGTGTAGATTCTGTTGCGCTACCGTGCATGGATGAAATCCACTTCGCACCACCTAAGAAAGCCTGAAATGACGATTCCCCTATAAATGCAAACGATCATAAACAATCAATGGTTGCAAAGTGGTGCCATCGAATTTTGTCCATCCGCTTGGATTCCCCAAACTAAAATGACGAATTTGGCACAATCAATGGTTTCTCATGGCTCCAAGCGGTGCAACAGCTTCGACCCCCGCCTTTGTGCCTCCATGGCCTCCCCGTGCAGCCGTCGCAGCTCTGGCACACCCTGGAAAAAACCGAAAAGGGCCTGTTGACATTGGGTTCTCGTGCTCTTGGAAGAACAATGTCTAACAGAACTGTACATAGGGAGCATAATGAAAAAACACAAAAGTACATCACTGTAATTTTCCAGAACCAAAAAATAGTTTGCGGCAGGCCGGTCACGACTTGCCTCGGATAACTTTCAGTTGATTGCTCGAACATGGTACCAGTTTCCTGGATTCCCGAATGCCAACCAAAAGGAGGTCGACTATGTTGAGAAACTCCGCGTTTTTTCCCCTCCTTTGAAACATCATCCCTAAGAAAGCTCACACTGTCCGGGCCCAGAAGGCGATGCTCAAAACCAGAACAGAAACAAAAACACGGGGGACGAACCCTGAGAAAGGCGATCGGACGCTGCCGGGGTTTCCGCTCGCCGCTCCTCGCCTCAACAATATCTGTCTGATTTAAAGGAGTTGTCCACGCAAAGCCTGGATCCACCACGTCCCATGCACGTATATGGGGGGTTTCTGAAAATAGGGAACCCCTTATTGGAGGGTTGCAATGGGGACACCACCTACATGGACCTGTCCCCCAATTTCGAGAAACACCCATGTACTGCTTCACATCCCTTTTTACATCCCCAACATGGGATGTGATTTTCCCATGATGTCGTTGCAGTAACCTTGGCAAGACCCTGGGGATGTGAAAAGGAATGTGAATCAGTTCCTTGAAAAGCCATGACTCCAGCAGGTACACCCTTGAACCTATATAGCGCACGGTAACCTACATGCACCGAATCCTGTCTGCTCATGAATATACCCCTTTTGAGTGCCAGGAACATGCAACCAGAACCGGAAGTACTTGACTTCCCTCCCACCATGGAACGTGATGGGAGACCTGAATCGCGGTTGCATTTAGATTTGCTGCAGTGTCACATTGTGGGTACCAAGTCTTTAAGCGCATTCTGCACTTTCGTCCAGCTTCTGAAGCCGTGTTCTTCCACCCGGCTAGGCAAAGTGGCTGACACCTAGTCACCAGGATCTCTCAAATCCTCCGCAAAATCAGCTCTCAACACCCTTGCGCCTTGTCCAAGGACCTGAGCTGCTCCAGCTCCTCCTCTTCTGGGCTGGGCGGCAAGCGCCTTGCAAGTGGCTTGCGGGGGATGGGTTCTTGTGTTGGCTCCGTTTTTTGTAGGGGGGAAGCCATCAAACAAGCCTGCTGTTAAAGCCTCCACTGTTTGCCCAGGTGCCAGAGGGCCAAGGGGCCTCTTTTGAAAGGAGCAGGGTCCGGTGAAAGGCATCTCCACCAAAGAAACAGGGAACGAAAACGAAGCCGAGCATATTGTTGAATCAGGGCTAACATCAAATTGGCTTCTTATCTCGCGCACGGGGAATGACGGGAAGCCAGCAATGGGTGTTGAACGCATGGTCCGGAAAATACATGAAACGTGAAATAACGGATCCTCAAGTAAAGCTTCATGACCTTCATCATGGGTTTTCACTGGGTACACCCGAATTGGCAGAGATACGGGCGATTTAGCACCCAAAGTTTGGGAGACTTTAAATGGTTCTAACACATGGGCTCCTTTCGGATGCCACGCACATTACTCTTCAGCGCGAACCGGAATTCTGGGAATCCTGTCTGGGAATATGTATATAATCTTACGGGTGCCGCCGGCGCTCACACAAACAGCATGACATCTCGACATCCGACTGAGCCGCCCGGCTTATTCGCTTGGGATGCCGTCAGCTGCGTCCTGCGCTTCCGGCCGCCAGGGTGCAACCAGGGCCGGGTTAACCAAGCAAGCAAGCAAGCAAGCAACCCAACAAGCAACCCAGCAACCAACAACGAACCAACGAACCGTCCAACCGTAGCAACAATTCAGCCGAGCAGCCAACCAAGCATCCAGGCAATCAACTCCACTTTGTTCTTGATTGCACTGCAAGAACTGCTTGAACCGCATGATTGTTCACTAGCCTGCTGTAGGCCAGTGCTCTTCGTAGGTACCATCCCCCCCTCCATCGCATTCCTCTTACTTCGTCGCCCTTTTCGATGCTTGAAGCAGGGTCGAGGCCCTCTCAGTTTCTCAGAAACTACATCTCTCTCGCGCCCAATTATGCGTCCGTCGAAGGTACAAACCCCAAGCAAAGCCAGCATTCAGGAACATATTGAATGTGTCCCGACTCTGCCAGAAAGTTTGGGCCCCGGGCCCCCTGACTTCAGCCGAATTCGTTCAACTGCAAGGGATGTAAACATGTGGGCTGGTTTTGAGGTGGTTGCGAGCAAGCTAGGCGGCCCGCCCAGCAGCCGGGGGCCATAAATGAGGGCCTCGAATTTTAGTAGCTGTTTACAGGGACAATCTCTTCCAAAAGCAATGCACAGGGACTAAAGGCACCACTCAAGGTCCCATCTGAGCCACAGTCAATGATTCCTTTTTTTTCAACTTGCATCCCGCATGTCTGGGAGTTTGGTGAGTACTCCACATTTTTCCTGATGGCACCTTGGGTGAGTCTCCCTCCCCGATTTTCCCCCCGGCGAATGCGAAGCTTGCGGCTTCCGCCTCCGTCTGGGCCAAGAGAGCCGAACCCTGGAGGGCATGGCTCGAGCAAACATCACGCGCCACGAGGGACGGCACAGGGGGATCTCATCAAAAGATCCCGTGCCCCTCAAATGGTGGGGCTCCTTTTTCTCCATTTGCTTAAGTCCCCTGAGGAAAAAAACGAAGAAGAAGCAAAAACAGTAGCGATAGGTTTCCTACAGCAACAGGGGAGAATAAACCATACCCTTGAGCAAATGGAAGTTTGTGTTTTCCCTTTCAATCCATCCAAGCAGGGGTCTATCTATTTTCAGGAGAAAAAACTGGTGATTCCTTTTGGTCTCCTTGTGGGGGGAAACAATCAATAGAGGCGCGATTTAGCAGGCAAACTTGTGCCGAGCGGAACAAATTGGGGGCGAGGCTTGTAAAGGCAAAGGTGCTTCTGACTCTCGCAGAGCAACAGCCAAGCATGGCCCAAACAGCTGTCTAGCAAACTGTTGGGTCAAGCTTTCATTGGAAGCTGTCAACACTTGGGACTGAAACAACGGAATACAATATAAATCACAAAACCCATCTAAATGATGTCCATCAACGGGGTCCCAATTAAAATCACAGCGGCCAGGTGTGCGTGTGTTTGTTGAAGGTCCCTTTGAGGCAAGACGTGCCTGAACTAGAACTACATGTTGGGTGTTTTTGATTCTTGCGGGAACTTGCGCGAAACTGAAAAAAGGAAACCACATAGAACCACCGATTTTAGGGGATGGGGGATTTGGGGAGGGTTCCTTCTCGCCTCCCGCACTCTGCGTAGCTTCCGCCGCGGAGGCAGCCTGCAAGGCAAAAGCGCGACTTCGGACGACCCCCCTCTTTCCGTCTTTTGAAGGATACCCGTTCCTTTTTGGTGGGTTTTAAACATATCCTTTGGGAAACCCAAACAGGCATCTGAAACTTTTGGCGGAAACCAAAAGGAAACCAGACATCTGTTGGGGCCCACACCCACATCAACCAATGTCCATTTATCCATTATGGTAACCAGCAAAGAGTGGTTGAGGCGTGCTGGTAGGGCTTGATTCCCCGTTCTTTTCAATCATGTTTCTTTTCAAGAACCAGCCAATTCCAGGGTTTCTGACAGCTTTCTAGAAGAAGGATCCCTGGAATGGGGAAGGTACTCCTAGAAGAAACAAAGGACACTCAGCTCGGGCTGGCTAAACAAGTATCAAAAGTTAGAGTATTGAATTTATGCCTGGTCTTCTTCTAGGTGCCGATCACTTTGCGTGTGCTTTTTTTTGTCGCCGAATTTGGGCTCGACCGTTTTCACCTCCCATTGGAGCCCGTGGGTTAGGAAATCAAAGCTGAACCTTGGGAAGCCAGTCTTTCGGGGGTGCCCCCTTTTTGGTGGTGTTCAGGAAAACCAGTTCAACAGGAAAACCATCATGCCCAATTGAGACATGACATGGACTCAAGGCTTTGTTCTTACGGATGTTGCCCAAGTTGGTGAGCGTATTTCCCGGCGCTTTGTTCACAAGGCTTTTTAACTGCTACTCGCGCTGAGTCCTGGCCTCCTGACTTTCCCTCCTAATTATGCGGAAGGGCGCATGAGCTCACCTTTCCATGTTGGCGAGCTGGATGAAATTACCAAATTGGAACTAAGAAAGCCGAAAGAAAGCCTCAGGGAAGGCCCTTCGAATTGCTCGCCGTACCACCCCGCACAAAAAACCATCGGAGAGCTCGTCAGCTGGTCAGGGCCTGAACTTCAAGGAATAGCCCGGAGTAATATGCTCTAATATGGGGGAACCGAGGACACGGCGGGGGGCAATATTTTTTAGGAAATGAATCCGGGGTCCTCGCCTGCATAGGCTGCATGCTCCTGCGAATGCTTGTCGGGTTGCCCGACCCTCCTGGGTTTTCCTGGTTCCTTTGAAAGGCCGTCTGACGCTGGCTAAGTACCGTTCAAAAAGAAGTGGTTGGGGATTGTGGGATGCTGGGGTGCCTTATTTAGACTTTGGATAGCGCTCCATGCCCATGGTGACATGTTCAAACTATATCATAGACTATATCCTCCAACTGTCCCACGATTCAGCCCGCGCACGGAGCCGCAATTGAAACGAAAGCATGCGCAAGAACACCCGCATCAACACGAAAAATATGGGCGTCTCAAAATCGCAGGGGCCCAACACATCTTCAAACTTCCCAACGGTTTCCCAAAACAGACAAATGCCAATGGGCGCGGGTCCTTCCAGCTTCCGGGCGAAGGGCCAGCATCCAAGGCCCGGTCAGGTGGGCCTGGGGCCAAAGCATGCCTGGGGATGTGCCCGTATGACCATATGTTGGTTGATTTGGGTATTCCCGCCGCATGAAACCTGTATGTGTTCAACGTGTTATGTTGCATTGCATAAACACCTCAACCAAAAAGACATATGCCTTTGTTTTGTCCGGCCAAAGGCATATGACCAAAGGCATATGAGCAAACAATCGGTGGAAATGGTGCCCATCAGAAAATAAGCCCGCAGGAGAACCAAAAGAATGCAATATACAATGCTATGCTATAAACGAAACATGACAGGAGGAATCTGAAGAAGGCCGGCGGGTTCAATGAACGGCAAGGTGCCAACAAGCAGGTTGGCACCTAAAATTCGGCTGAGTGTCTCCTTTCCAAGAATCCAGCCCAGATTTGCAAGCGTCCTGAAACGAACACTTTTTTTTGCGATGTTTTCAAGTGTTCAAGGGGAACGCAAGGGAACCCGCCCATCCCCTTCCCCGATTTTTTGAGATTCACCCAAACAGCCCCTGAGCTTTCCAGCGGAGAAACCTGTATCAAGTCCGTGAAATGGAGAACCCCTGTCGGCAAGATGGGTTGTTTCCTTTGGGGTTGGATTAGAATGTTGGAGTAAACCTAAGTGCCACCTCTTGCTCCAATCAAAAGAGGTCTCCGCTGCAAAAACATGCATGTCAGGGCTGGGCCAACCCCCTAATTCATTCCGGGGGCTTTTGGGCCTGGCAGCGCATGCAAAGAACCAACCCCCAGAAAAACGCCGCATCCGCGCTTCCCATCGGCTCCCATCCGGGTCCCTGCCTGGGTCCTTGCAATTCCTGGCGCCTGACATCCGGCTGCAAGCCCGCCCAACCCGCGCATCTCCGCGCCCGCGGAGCTGGGTTTTTACCTCGAAATGCGAAAAAGTGCTACGTTCAACTTCTGTTTTTTGTCACCCACGCGTTCGTAAACGTCGCAGATCTTTGCCGCGGGTTTGCTGTGACCCCCAGTATCTGCGAAATGCGAATGTTCCTTCGCTGTTGAAGCATCAGTTGTTTTTGGCCTTATAATGGTCTGAAATCCCTTACCTGGAGAAAGCTTCCGGCTGCCTAATAGGGCCTCCAAGTCACCCCCGCTGCTGCTTTTTGGACGATTTTGAACATGGGAAAAAAACAGTTGTTGGGGGCTGGCTACTTTGGCATTGTTTTGGAAAGTAAAGATTTGTTGGCGATCCAGCGCTACACATCTTGACCAAACTTCACATCCGCGCCGGGACCCACGCCTCGGCTCGTGTCCGGCTCCGTGTAGCTGTTGACTTGCGGTGGGCCTGCTGCAAACATCCCTTGAAAGGTCCGCTCAAGTGCCTCCAAAGTCCGAACTTCGTCGCGCCAACTTGCGGCTTAGCCTCGAAATCCAAACGGTCTGGCGTACATGCGGCCTGTAAGGTTGGATTATAATGTCGGAGTGGGATTTACGGCGAAACCTCCCCCACTTTTGGGGCCCCTACCTTCGGGACCAGTTGGAACCATGAGTCAAGCCCTTCAAATGCCCAAGCGAAGTCGGGACCACGGCGAACTCGCAATGCCAACGGGGAAAGCAACGAGAACACTCCCCCCCTCTGGTTTGACCCCAAACATCACGAAACAAACCTCAGTGCCACCTCTTGCTCTAAACACACACTCCCAAAACAAAACCTCTCCGCTCCGGGGCTTTGGGTCTGGTAACGCTGACCAACGAACCGCTGGCTCCCAGAAAAACAAATCCGAATCCGCGCGTCGATCCCCGCCTGGGTCCTTGGAATTCTGGGCGCCTGACATCCGGCCCCAAGCCCGCCCGCGGAGCTGGGTTTTTACCTCACCAGAAATGCAAAAAAAGTGCTCCGTTCAACTTCTGTTTTTTGTCACCCACGCGTTCGTAAACGTCGCAGATCTTTGCCGCGGGTTTGCTGTGACCCCCCAGTATCTCCAAAATGCGAATCCCATCCCTGTTGAGCCATCAAATAATTTTTGGCTATAATGGTCTGAAATCCCCTACCTGGAGAAAGCTTCCGGCTGCCTAATAGGGGTGCTTTTTGTTCGATTTTGAACTGCTGCCTACCTCTGGCTTCGTTTTTGCAAATTAAAGATTTGTTGGCGATCCAGCGGTCACACATCTTGACCAAACTTCGCATCCGCGCCGAGACCCACGCCTCGGCTCTTGTCCGGCTCCGTGTAGCTGTTGACTTGCGGTGGGCCTGCTGCAAATATCCCTTGGAAGGTCCGCTCAAGTGCCTCCAAAGTCCGAACTTTGTCGCGCCAACTTGCGGCTTAGTCTCGAAATCCAAACGGTCTGGCATACATGCGGCCTTTAAGGTTGGATTATAATGGCGGAGTGGGATTTACGGCGAAACCTCCCCCACTTTTGGGGCCCCTACCTTCGGGACCAGTTGGAACCATGAGTCAAGCCCTTCGAATGCCCAAGCGAAGTCGGGACCACGGCGAACTCGCAATGCCAACGGGGAAAGCAACGAGAACACTCCCCCCCTCTGGTTTGACCCCAAACATCACGAAACAAACCTCAGTGCCACCTCTTGCTCTAAACACACACTCCCAAAACAAAACCTCTCCGCTCCGGGGCTTTGGGTCTGGTAACGCTGACCAACGAACCGCTGGCTCCCAGAAAAACAAATCCGAATCCACGCGTCGATCCCCGCCTGGGTCCTTGGAATTCTGGGCGCCTGACATCCGGCCCCAAGCCCGCCCGCGGAGCTGGGTTTTTACCTCACCAGAAATGCAAAAAAAGTGCTCCGTTCAACTTCTGTTTTTGGTCACCCACGCGTTCGTAAACGTCGCAGATCTTTGCCGCGGGTTTGCTGTGACCCCCCAGTATCTCCAAAATGCGAATCCCATCCCTGTTGAGCCATCAAATAATGTTTGGCTATAATGGTCTGAAATCCCTTACCTGGAGAAAGCTTCCGGCTGCCTAATAGGGGTGCTTTTTGTTCGATTTTGAACTGCTGCCTACCTCTGGCTTCGTTTTTGCAAATTAAAGATTTGTTGGCGATCCAGCGGTCACACATCTTGACCAAACTTCGCATCCGCGCCGAGACCCACGCCTCGGCTCTTGTCCGGCTCCGTGTAGCTGTTGACTTGTGGGCCTGCTGCAAATATCCCTTGGAAGGTCCGCTCAAGTGCCTCCAAAGTCCGAACTTTGTCGCGGCGACTTCCGGCTTAGTCTCGAAATCCAAACGGTCTGGCATACATGCGGCCTTTAAGGTTGGATTATAATGTCGGAGTGGGATTTACGGCGAAACCTCCCCCACTTTTGGGGCCCCTACCTTCGGGACCAGTTGGAACCATGAGTCAAGCCCTTCGAATGCCCAAGCGAAGTCGGGACCACGGCGAACTCGCAATGCCAACGGGGAAAGCAACGAGAACACTCCCCCCCTCTGGTTTGACCCCAAACATCACGAAACAAACCTCAGTGCCACCTCTTGCTCTAAACACACACTCCCAAAACAAAACCTCTCCGCTCCGGGGCTTTGGGTCTGGTAACGCTGACCAACGAACCGCTGGCTCCCAGAAAAACAAATCCGAATCCACGCGTCGATCCCCGCCTGGGTCCTTGGAATTCTGGGCGCCTGACATCCGGCCCCAAGCCCGCCCGCGGAGCTGGGTTTTTACCTCACCAGAAATGCAAAAAAAGTGCTCCGTTCAACTTCTGTTTTTGGTCACCCACGCGTTCGTAAACGTCGCAGATCTTTGCCGCGGGTTTGCTGTGACCCCCCAGTATCTCCAAAATGCGAATCCCATCCCTGTTGAGCCATCAAATAATGTTTGGCTATAATGGTCTGAAATCCCTTACCTGGAGAAAGCTTCCGGCTGCCTAATAGGGGTGCTTTTTGTTCGATTTTGAACTGCTGCCTACCTCTGGCTTCGTTTTTGCAAATTAAAGATTTGTTGGCGATCCAGCGGTCACACATCTTGACCAAACTTCGCATCCGCGCCGAGACCCACGCCTCGGCTCTTGTCCGGCTCCGTGTAGCTGTTGACTTGTGGGCCTGCTGCAAATATCCCTTGGAAGGTCCGCTCAAGTGCCTCCAAAGTCCGAACTTTGTCGCGGCGACTTCCGGCTTAGTCTCGAAATCCAAACGGTCTGGCATACATGCGGCCTTTAAGGTTGGATTATAATGGCGGAGTGGGATTTACGGCGAAACCTCCCCCACTTTTGGGGCCCCTACCTTCGGGACCAGTTGGAACCATGAGTCAAGCCCTTCAAATGCCCAAGCGAAGTCGGGACCACGGCGAACTCGCAATGCCAACGGGGAAAGCAACGAGAACACTCCCCCCCTCCGGTTTGGCCCCAAACATCACGAAACAAACCTCAGTGCCACCTCTTGCTCTAAACACACACTCCCAAAACAAAACCTCTCCGCTCCGGGGCTTTGGGTCTGGTAACGCTGACCAACGAACCGCTGGCTCCCAGAAAAACGAATCCGCGCGTCGATCCTCGCCTGGGTCCTTGGAATTCTGGGCGCCTGACATCCGGCCCCAAGCCCGCCCGCGGAGCTGGGTTTTTACCTCACCAGAAATGCAAAAAAATGCTCCGTTCAACTTCTGTGTTTTGTCACCCACGCGCTCGTAAACGTCGCAGATCTTTGCCGCGGGCTTGCTGTGACCCCCCAGTATCTCCAAAATGCGAATCCCATCCCTGTTGAGCCATCAAATAATTTTTGGCTATAATGGTATGAAATCCCTTACCTGGAGAAAGCTTCCGGCTGCCTAATAGGGGTGCTTTTTGTTCGATTTTGAACTGCTGCCTACCTCTGGCTTCGTTTTTGCAAATTAAAGATTTGTTGGCGATCCAGCGGTCACACATCTTGACCAAACTTCGCATCCGCGCCGAGACCCACGCCTCGGCTCTTGTCCGGCTCCGTGTAGCTGTTGACTTGCGGTGGGCCTGCTGCAAATATCCCTTGGAAGGTCCGCTCAAGTGCCTCCAAGAACTTTGTCGCGCCGACTTCCGGCTTAGTCTCGAAATCCAAACGGTCTGGCGTACATGCGGCCTTTAAGGTTGGATTATAATGGCGGAGTGGGATTTACGGCGAAACTAATAGGGGGCCCTCCAGCACCCCGCTGCTGCTGTTTGGGCGATTTTGAACTGCTGGATACCTTTGGCTTCATTTTTGCAAATTAAAGATTTGTTGGCGATCCAGCGGTCACACATCTTGACCAAACTTCACATCCGCGCCGAGACCCACGCCTCGGCTCGTGTCCGGCTCCGTGTAGCTGTTGACTTGCGGTGGGCCTGCTGCAAAAATCCCTTGAAAGGTCGAGTGCCTCCAAAGTCCGAACTTTGTCGCGCCAACTTGCGGCTTAGTCTCGAAATCCAAACAGTCTGGCGTACATTGCGGCCTTTAATCACAACGCGTAACACCAACAACTCACTTTCTGTGCGGCTTGGCCAAATCAAGTCCAGGAACTTGTTCTTGGCAGCAAAAACAGCCCAAACCAAGAAACATGACTATCAGTGAGGAGTGGGCATTGTTGCTCAGCGCTTCCAGTTATAGCAAGGTAAGATACCCCTGTTGTCTACTGAAGTGGTAACTGGCAGCACTACGCGAAAGGTCATTTCGTTTGGGATTCTCTTCGGCGTGGTCTTTCCAGAATCCCCAAACGTTTGGATGTGGGAAGCTGCTGGAAAGCGGTTTGGAAGAACCTGAGAAGCTACCAGTACCCTTTTGGCTTCCATTTAGGAAGTCGTGGGTTCTGGTGGCTCTGACGGATTTTTGAGTGCAAACTTTTGGACCTGAACAGCTTGGACATGGATTTGGATTCGGTTTGCAGGTTTCCACTACCCCCAAAGGAAACAGGAATAGGCATGCAACTGCAGCTTGTATTTGCTTTTTGCGTCGGAATAGGCACCCGGTGATTCCCGCGGAGTGGAGGATTTGATTCCAAGCCCAATCTGAAACTCATGTTTTGTTTTGCTGCCGGAGTTTGCGGGGAGGCTGCTTTGTTATCGTCTCGTATTCTCACATGGTATAGGGCTCCAATCGGCCCCATAAGTCAGTTAGTGGTTACATTCAAACGCTGGGGAATTGACGAACTGAACACTCTGTGAACTGCAAACAGGGGAGGACCACCGGCAATGTGCATGCATGCGTGGTCTGTCGAAGTAGAACTATGCTTGAAGCAACATGTTGAAATGCTCGAACTTGAAAACATTGTGTTGCCCCAAAATCACAGATTCTTTCTTGGGCTGGTGTGTTCATCAGTTTTTGAGGCTCCTGGCATAGTGGCTGTGGATTTCCAGACACTTTGGCGGTGGGCATGGAAACAATCCAAAATACGTGAGTTGAGTGTCGATCCCCTAAATCACCCGTGTCACGCGAAAGCGTTTAGCAAGCCACCCCACCTTGCTCTGCAGGGTGCTCGGGGCCTGCAAGCTTCTGTGAAAACCTACTGGCTTCACGTGGCATGGGTCTTCTACGTACATCCATCTGAACATTGCCACTGGCGGCCTGGTGGAAAGCCCCGTTTTACATGGCCGAGTTGTAAGATCTCGGGATGATGTTTGCAAGTTTGGCCAACTCAAGCCATGGAAAGCTCAGCATGTCCCGTGACCCTAAACGAACCATGCCTAGGGCTTGGTGGCTCATAGCCCTCGTCTGAAGTTTGCTGTGAGGCCTTCATGGCCTACCGCGCGGCAGCCACATGGCTGTGCAAAACCCAGATCCCAGTGCCAACAAGGAGTCACAAACCGGCGGTTGATGAATAGAGGGGCGTCCCAGATAGGAAAACCCCTCACTTTTTGAAAGGGAAACTCCCGCGTGTTGAACCCCGTCGATCAATGCGGGGTGAACACCCCACTCGCGACATGGAGACTTCGCTTAAGTACTGAGCTGACCTTCAGCCAAAAGGAGAATTAACCCGATCATTTACAAGATGTCGGGGCCAGTCAGTGACAGTGATATTGCGCGCAAGGCTTACGGCCGAACGCGGCTTACTCCAATGGGCCAAATGGGTGCGTTGTTTGTGAGGGGACCTTTTTGGGGGGTTGCGTTGAGAAACGGAAACCACTGGGAACCAAATCCCAAGGGAAACGAAACAGTTCCCAACGGTAAACCAAGGCAAAACGAAACAGAAACCTACGGCAAACGAAAAGGAAATGAAACGGACGGCAAAGGGAAGCCAAGCGGAAACAACCGGAAACCAAAGAGAAACCAAAGGCAAGCCATCTGAATCCAAAAGGGCAGCAAAACAAACAACTCAAAAGAAGCCACCTGTTTTGCAGCTTCAGCCAAACCCTCGACCCAGAACTGAGCAAGGTGCCTGGCGCACGCGGCAGCATGTCCCCCATCCTGAGTGATGGCATGAGGGGGAGAAAAAAAAACACATAAAACTAAAAAAGAAAGAAAGAAAGAACAAAACCCAGGAAAACACGGCGAAGCTCAATAACCCGCCAGTGTTAGAGGAATCTCCTTTGGAGGGACCCTTTCTAAGGGGAGTTTGATGTTGAACCGCTGTTGGCAAACTGGTTTCGGTCTTTGGCCAACTTCTTGTAGACTTTGCGGCCGATTTTTTGCTTGGGGTTTGACGGAGTGCGTGTCTGCAAACAGAAACGCACATATCCAATATCCCCCCTTTGGTTTGAATTTTGGAAATCGATCCTGGGCAAATTGCTACAACCAACAAACCGGAAGTCATCCTTAGTTGTAACCTCGCTTTACCCTTGGACAGGTGAGCTCGTTACAATTTCAGCCGGCAATTCTATTATAGGGGGTCAATCACCTATCCCCTTGTGGTTTACCAGCACGCAGATGCCGGCTGAACAAAAATGGGTCATAGAAAAGTGACCCTGCAAGCCTATTTCCCACCAGCTTCGTCCTGTTTGTCACTGTTAGAAGGGGATAACCCTGCCGGCATCGGGGTATAGATGCAAACCCTGATAACAGCAAAGGATGAAGTTACGCAGAACCCAACTCGAAGATGCGTGCATGCGCTGAATGTCGGTATGCTGGGCGTTGAGTCTTTCCTTGTAGGGGTCCCCTTAGAGGAAGGCTGAAAGGAAACCATCCGGACATGTTTGCGCGAACGCACTACTTTAAGGCAAACACCAAATGTAAAACAAATGTCAAGTTCATTTTGGAAAATGACCATTTTAAGGGTTAATGGACCCTAACCATGTGGAAGTGGGGGAATTTCGAGGCGCACTTAGCATTTAGGCCGCCCATGAGACAAACCAACCTAAGTGTTCCGGTCCTTTCGGGTCGTTTCAGTCGCCTCACTCGCCCTTCGCCCCGCCTGTGGCGTTTGAGCGCCTCCTCTTGGAGTTGCGCAAGTTGATCTGGAGGAATCCTGGGGCTCCGTGAGCGTACCGCATCCCCCCTCGTTGCAACTGGGCGTGCAACTTTTTCGGGTACAAGCGGTAGTCTGCCATGATTCTGGGATCCTGTTTGACATAACTTTGCATGTTTAAGGTCCATTTTCGCAAAGTATGGGCCAACAGCCCAACCCGAACTCTTGACAACAATCAAAAGCGGTATGTAACATTGTTTGAATTGGGGCCCTTATACTGCGAACTTTGACAATTGAAGATGCCAAAAACAGATCCCAGAATCATGACTCAGACCGCGGAAGGGAGGGTTTTGGACCTCTGTAGTGCTAAAGCCCCTTGTCCACCTCCATGCTTCTGGGAAGAAGAGAAGGCCTGAAAGGTAGGACAGGGATCTGCGACCCCGCTAAGAAAAGAATTGGAACCCTCGTTGGGATTCCACCGGGCCTCGTAAAAGGAAGACCCACCGCAACGAAGATTTGCCGCAAGATAGAAAACACATACGGGTGGTCATCCACAGGTCCGGCCTTTAGATTCCAAAACCAGTTTAAACTTCTGATATCTGAGTGGCAGCCGAATGGCGGTGGCAACTGCGCAGTGTAGAGTGAGGCTTTGCCGTAGCGCTGATCAAAGACGCACTATGGGTCATGCTACGGGCAAAGTTTTGCTCTGCCATCACAATCAACGGCTACTGTAGGCCCAAAAGGGACTTCGGACTTGCATAGTTTTGAGGCAGCGTGGGCCCAGCCGCCAAATCCACCACAAGACGTTGCAACCAGGGAGGATCGAAAGCTGGTGGGCTGACTCTGATTTCAAAAAGCATGTGTTCTGCATTGACAGTGGGGCGGTGAAGCCCCAAATTTCATCTTGAAGGCTTCGTGCATCAGGAAGTGGCTCAGTTCTTCGAAGCAAAGGGTACTCTTCATGAAAAAGGGCCGGCCGGAGTTGACAGCGATCAAGATTGTCTTGCGGCACTGACATTCCACAAGGTATCGTGGGATGATTCCGCAACTTTAATTGTGCGACCAACAAAAGGGTGCAGGCATTGTTCAAGAATTGAGCCCACGTCAATGTCATGGCGCGCTCGTGGCAGCCTACCCCGGCAAAGCCTCCGAACACTGACAAAATACGGGTTTTGTCGGATCGCATCAAGCCTTCTCCCACACATTGAGCGCGCGGGAAGATGTCATCACGGCATTCGGTATGCGATAGATTGCTGCTGCAACAGATTTGAGAGGTAAGAATCTCACAGTTGCACTCAATACCCTGCCAGGTTTCCTCCATACATCAAACACCGAGATCGAAGCTCACAGCGAAAGCCATGGTGGACATGTAAGTTGTGTGAGCACCCATCTAGGTCATGACGCTCAACTCTAAGCCAAATAGCTGTTTGATAACCAATGTCAAAGTATTGGCCAGGAAGACCCGGAACCAAGAACAACACACGCCATACAATGCCGACAAATGACCCTGGCCATAATCCGCACTCTGCTCAGTGCGAGTGAGAGAAAGATACATGTCATGTTCCAGTCTTGGCAAGATCAAATGTAATGGCACATCCGAGGCGGCTATGTGGAAAGGTGGGTCGACATCCTCCCAAGTCAGGGATCTTTATCATGACTCACCTCGTTTGTCCCCTGACCCCGCCTCTGAATGTCCGTGTCGCCGGCTTCGGACAAAGGGGCGGTCGCCAAAGGTGCAGCGGAGCAGTAGTACCGGAGCGTACTCTGGGGGTGGTGCACCGCCATTGTGATCTTGAGATCAAACCTCAGGCAGCGGATCCTAAGGCTAAGGCGGGTCGTTCAAAATTTAGGGATCCCCAAGCTTCGACCACCGGTGGGATGCCACAAGGAAAACATCGCAATCTGGCGTAGGGATTGTGGGTTTGCTTTGAACCCACCCAAATGTATGGACGCCAGCGGCAAGGTCGATGGCTTGTGCAAAAGCTTCGGGGACCGTGGGGCAAACATTGCCGGACACGTGGTGGAGTCGCAGTCACATCTCAACACACAGGCCCAAGCATGTAGAATTCTAGCTCAGCAAAATAGTTTGTTCGATTCCGGTCCATACTGAGCGAACCTTACAAACGCAACATCACTTCCAAAGAGATCCTATCGTTTGTCGCCCCACCACGTGAAATAGCATTAAAGCATGATCCCAGGACATGCGTGCATAAACCAAAAAGGAACTACCACCCACACCCACCTTCTGATTCGAACCGGGCGCCTTTTTGACACAAACCACGTCTCCGGGTCCCTGGCTGCTGGTCCACGTCGATGGGGAACAAGTTCTGAAGCATCTCTGTGGCCCCCTCGGGGCCATGCACCAGCACTGCAGTCCTGGCACTGTCGAAGGATATATTTGCTTCATTCGATGGGGGGTTTGTTTGACTGTGGATGGACCAAATCCAATAGCACCACTTTGAAAACATGGTTGAAACAATTGTTGGTTGGTTCCAGGGTTTCTCAGCTGGTGCGAAATGGATTCGTCCATTCACTGTACAACAGGGTTTCCCCGTATCCCTACGGGCTTTTCCCCCTCCCTTTAAAAAGACACTAAAGGGTCGCCTCTCAAAGGCTAATGACACACCCAGGTCAGGCAGAAAAAAGCTACTGGTCGGGTTCTCAGGGTTCTGAATTCTTCCAGGTGATTGGATGTTTTTTGTTCTTTAAAGCCCTCTGAAAAGAGGTTCCGCATTTTGAGACAAGAAGTTGCCCACAAGCGAAGGGCTTGTAGCGCAACTGAGCGAACAGCCGGTGGAACACCCCTTGAGCCTTTGATCAAACTGAGGGCCCGATTTTTGCGAATCCGAAAGCTGCATGGACACCACCACAACAATGGAAACCCACCCCATCAAAATCTCAGCGCCAAAACCGCTTTTTGGGTAGTCTTTGGCTAGCTTCTTGCAGAGGTGCCTGCAGGTTTCTGAGTTTGACCACATGGGTCCGCAAAACACAATGCCAAGTATCCCCATGTGGTTTCCGTTTGGGAAAGTACGGCAACTCTTTTTGGGACAGTAGTTCTAGGCAAGTTGACATGACTTTCAAACTGAACACAACAAATCCCAAGTAGAGCCTTCATCATCATGGGTATTTGCTCGGTTCACCCCGGCCGGTGAGCGCACGAACTAATTCACCCAAATAACTGCAATTCTGAGTTACTCTGCTGCAGATTCACGTGTCATTTCCAGAGGAATCTTCTTTAGGAAGACCCCCCCTTTTTGGGTTCCACTCCCTACTCGAGATACATGTTGTTTCTCTTTTGATAGTCAGGGGTTGACCTCACACCTGACAAAAAAAAGTGTTTGGAGTGAGGGCGACATGTGGGTCTGTCAAAGTAGGAATTATGGATATGTTTGGATTCCCTTCAAACCACCCCAAAAAGGGTATCCTCAGAAAAGCACAAACACCCAAGTGATTTTCTTGCAGGGGCACGCGGAAACCCATCCGCGAGAGGGCGCACGGCATCTGGGGCCGCCGGCGCTCCGCAGAGCTTGATGGGCTGTCTCAGAACTTCCTCCTCGGAGCCAGAAAACAAGGTACAGGGGTGGTGATGTTTGGTCACATTTGCGGAGAAAAAAGGAAACAAGGCTTTGTGGCCATGCTTGGAAAAGTGGTTTTGCCAAAGAAGCCACGTTGAGGTCAGAAAGTAGCCATGGCGATGGTATCGTAGCCATATTGCTTTAAAGGGTGAAGAGTTGCCTCTCCTCCAATTGGCCCAGTTGCCCCCCAAGAATCAAGCTCCTTTGCAGTCTGCATCTGTGCCCCTCCTTCCAACGGAAACTCTGCACTATGTTGCCAGCCGTCGCACAGCTGCGGTGCAACGCGCACCTGCTTTACCTTGATCATTAAAGTAGTCAGGATGCGAGTGGCGCGAGAACACAAAGGCTCTTATATCATGCAGGGGTTGTCTCAAGCTCAATTTGAGGCATTCGAGAATACGCTGAGACACCCCCGGACATTCCCTGGGGAGCTCCTTGGCCGATGGCATTCATGGGCGCCAATGTTGGGGTCGGCCCAAATGAGATTCCTGACTTTGGACCACAACGACGGTGTATAAATGTATATGTATATATGTGTATATACACGCATGTATCATATTTGTATATATCGATAAGGTATATTTGTACACATAGCACCAAGTGTAGAGAGAGAGAGAGAGAAAAAACATCAACGTTGCATTGCCCAGAGTCAATACCATCCACCTATCCGTCCATCAACCCAACCATCCAGCAGCTTGTCCATCCATCCGTCCGTGCATCTATCCATCTATCTATCCATCCTGCCAATGACTTGGCTGCCACCCATTTCCGAACCACACCGCGCATGCGGACTACTCAAAGGCTGAAAGTCACATACCCGTCGTTTGTATGCCGTGCTACCCAGCGTGCCTTGCTGTTCGCCATTGTGCACACACGAGCTCCGTGCTGAGCAGGCGATAAATCCACAGAATCTTGCCCATCTGTGGTTTCATGTTTGGCCTATCCTAAGATATAGAAGTGGTGTAGGAGGCTTCTGCCATGTCATCGGCGAGTCTGGAACTGGTGAGCTCGGTTAGAGGTGAGATTGGTCCACTTACTTCGGCATGTGCAGAAATCAATCACGCAAGTTGTATTTTGCTTTCGTTTCACGCTTGTACGCTGTGCCCAAGCCATGTTTCATCCTGTAGGGCACTTTTGAAAACATGCTTCTTCCAAGCAAAGGGCTCGGAAACCTCTGAGCGGAAACGCCGACAACCTTTGCAGGTTCCAAACATGTAACGGGACAACTTGATGCCAAAAACAAGTTGCACCACTGCGGCCGAAGAAAAGAACCAACAACCAAACATGGGAACCCTCAAAAAAAGGCGCTCCTCCCCCAAAAGGACATGGCTCTACACCGCGGTTTTTGCGGGTCCCACTGGCAATCTGGAGTGCAAAGCTTCGGCTTCGGACATCTCAAAGCGGGCGGGTGGGTTCCTTGAGCGCGGCCTCCCGGGTCTGGGCATCCCGGCGATCTCCGTGGCATAGGCGGGGCGGGTGATGCCCTGGGAGAGCTGCCCCCCCCCCGATTTCGACAGCTCAGGAGGTCTCTGGGCTTGGGCAAAGCTGAATTGACCTACCCGCCACTTCAAACTCTTCCAAAGAAATCGCGCTCGGAGCCCGCAAGAAACTGAAATTGGGCCCCACGACAGGGCCTCCTTCAAGAGTGACCGGTTTCTCGGGTTTTGCGGTGTTTCCGCGTTCCTTCGCGCGGTGTTCTCAATGGCTGGAACCCGAGGCCCAGGCCCAGTGAAGCTCTTGAGATCGAGATTTCGAGCGGATGAAGCCCACCTCGGCGCGAAAGCGGCTGAAGCCGAAAGCGATGAATCAAATCACTAGGTTCAAAGGGGATGGTGGAAAGATCTCCACGGAAGGCTGAGCGCTGGCCAATCCTCATCCATAGTCCCCATTGCACAACCACAAAGGGGACTCCTTTCGTAACCCAAGGTAAGGATTCAGGATGTTGAACAGCCCAAAGGAATGGAAAGAAATGGATCCTCAAAACCGGAAAGACATGGATCCCGGATCGTTTTTTCCCCCTCCCATCGGGAGCGCCCAAGAGGTCCTCTAGGAAAGCAGCCTCAGCTTCAGAGATCGAAGTTTTCGCGGCGTTCCACAATGGATGTTGAAACATCTGTAGCCCCAGATAGAGGACAAAGGTACCTGAAAGG